GCAGATATGAGGGACTGGTCAAATTCGAACCGCACAATATTACTGCAGTGTGTATTGACGGGGCGTGCTCAGGAAGCCTTCTCTTCGTTGACTACAGGTGACAGTTGCGATTATGTTAAGGTTAAAGCTGCGGTTCTAAAGGCGTATGAATTGGTCCCTGAAGCTTACCGTCAGCGGTTTAGAAGTTGGAAAAGAGGGGACAGGTCGCATCTTGAGTTTGCCCGTGATTTGGGGACTCAATTTAGCCGTTGGTATTCTGCGTCGGATGTCAAAGATTTTGATGATCTGTGTAACCTGATGGTGCTTGAACAGTTTAAAAACTCAGTCCCAGAGGTAATTGCTATGTACATCAGTGAGCAAAAGGTGAAGACTGCAGGTGAGGCTGCTGTGTTGGCAGATGATTATGTTTTAACCCACAGAAGTAGCGGCGGGGAACCACGCGCTTATGGCTTTGCTGGTAGGGAAAGTGGTCCTGCCCGGTATTTCTCTGGCCGTTCTGGTGGAAATTTTCGTTCGGAACAGAGAGCTGACCGTGGTGTCCGTACCTCTGACGATAGTTGTCATTTCTGCCATGAAGTAGGGCACTGGAAAAGAGACTGTGCTTTGCGCAAGTCGCAGAACAGGTATAATGGCGCGCAGGTGAAACCAGCCGCTCTGGCTGCGCCAGTTTCCAAGTTGGTTATGTCGGACAATTTGAGTAATCTGACATCTCTCACGGAAAAGCCCGATTTGACTTCATTTTTGCCTTTTATCACAAAAGGACATGTGTCTCTGGTGGGTACTGACAGGAAGGTGCCGGTGACCATATTGCGTGACACTGGAGCATTTGATTCATTTATCCTGGCGTCTGCTCTGCCTTTTTCTGCGGAAACTGACACGGGTTTCTTTATATCGGTATTGGGTATGGGCATGTCTGTGTTTCAGGTGCCAATACATAAACTTGTGCTCCACTCGGATCTATTTGAGGGAGAAGTCGCAATGGGGGTGCGCCCTGCTCTACCTATAGATGGCGTTATGCTGGTTCTGGGTAACGACGTGGCTGGGGCACGTGTCTGGCCTGATGATCCAGCTCAACCGGTACTTGTCCCAGTACCGCTGGGTAGTAAAGGCCCTGATGAGAATGAGAAGCGGTATCCGGATGTATTCCAGGCTTGCGCCATGACGCGAGCCATGACTGCGGCCGGTCACGAGTGGGAAGCAGAGGTGGAATTGGACAATGCGAAAATAAATGACCCCACAGAAGAGTATGTATTATCGCTGTCTAACACTCCATTGTCTGTCTCACATGATGAGTCAGGGCATATGGGCATAGGAAAGACGTATGATCGCATTCTGAGACATTTTTTTTGGCCCCGGATTAAGAGAGACGTGGCAACGTACATCAAGACCTGCCATACCTGTCAGTTAACGGGTAAACCAAATCAAAAAATAAAAGTGGCTCCGCTGTATCCCATTCCGGCTATAAGCCAGCCATTTGAACACCTAATCGTGGATTGTGTGGGCCCTCTTCCGCCTTCAAAGTCTGGTGCTATGTATTTGTTGACAATTATGTGTCAATCGACCAGATATCCAGCTGCGTATCCATTACGCACACTCATGGCGAAATCGATTGTGCATGCTTTAAGCCAGTTTATCTCAATCTTTGGGATACCAAAAACCATCCAGAGTGACCAAGGGTCAAACTTCTCCTCACAGTTGTTTGCACAGGTGTTAAAACAGCTGCATGTCAAGCATAACCAGTCCTCGGCGTACCATGCGCAAAGTCAAGGGGCGCTGGAACATTTTCATCACACTTTAAAATCTCTGTTACGTGCTTACTGTGTGCAGATGAAAGGTGATTGGGAGGAAGGGTTACCATGGTTGTTGCTAGCGGCAAGGGAAGTAACACAAGCAAGTACAGGATTTTGTCCTAATGAGCTAGTTTTTGGTCATACTGTTCGTGGTCTGTTGGCTGCGTTGCAAGGGGATTGGAGACAAACAGAGCCACCTAAAAATCTGGTGGAGTATGTCAATGGGTTCCGGCATAGACTTTACGCAGCTGGGGAATTGGCAAAGTCGAAGTTGGCTAAAACACAGGATAAGATGAAACGTCTTTATGACCGTGGAGCTGAGCATCGGGTGTTCAGTACAGGCGACCAAGTTTTGGCTTTGTTGCCCATTATAAATTTGCCATTTAACGCTAAGTTTATGGGTCCCTATACTGTAGTGAAACAGACTTCAGAGCAGAACTATCTTATTGCCACACCAGACCGTCGAAAACATAACCAACTGTGCCATGTTAATCTGTTGAAGGCATATCATGCACGTTCGTCTCAGGAGCGGAGCGTAGGGATGGATAGCGCTCACCCGGCGTTCATTTTTAGATTCTGAAGTTGAGTATATGCTGAAGAACGGTATCACTAAACCGTCATCCTCAAGCTGGGCGTCACCTTGTTTGCTCGTACCAAAAGCGGACAATACCCCTCGGTTTTGTTCGGATTTTAGGAAAGTCAACAGTGTCACTAAACCAGACTCTTACCCCCTACCTCGCATGGATGATTGCGTTGATCAGGTTGGTGCTGCAAAATACATCAGCAAATTTGATCTGTTAAAGGGTTATTGGCAGGTCCCTTTATCCCAAAGGGCGCGTGAAATTGCAGCGTTTATTACTCCAACTGGGCTGTATTCTTACTCTGTCATGCCTTTCGGGTTGCGAAACGCACCTGCTACGTTCCAACGACTTATGAATATGGTTGTTCGTGGGTTAGAAGGCTGTGCAGTGTATATAGACGATGTCGTCGTGTACTCAGATTCGTGGTCTTCACACATGGAGCGTGTAAAAGCGTTGTTCGGTCGCTTACTTGAGGCTCGCCTTACCGTTAATCTGGCGAAGTGTGAGTTTGCTAAAGCAACCGTCACATACAGTACCTGGGTCGCCAGGTCGGGCAAGGAGAGGTGCGCCCTCTGCGGGCAAAGGTGCAAGCCATGGACCGGTATCCGCCGCCGGCGACAAAGAAAGAACTGATGAAATTTTTAGGTTTGGTTGGTTATTATAGAGCTTTCTGTCGTAACTTTTCGACTGTAGTGGTGCCGCTGACAGACCTACTGAAGGGTAAGGTGGAGTATATTTGGTCCGCTGGTTGTCAAAGGGCTTTCGATGCTGTAAAGCTGATCCTTTGTGATTCTCCGGTTCTCGCTGCACCACGAATGGATAGCAGTTTTAAGCTGCAAGTTGATGCCAGTCACGTGGGTGCAGGTGGGGTGCTGATGCAAGAGGACGAATTGGGTATTGACAGACCTGTGAGTTTCTTCTCCAAGAAGTTCAACAAGCACCAGTTAAACTATTCCGTAATAGAAAAAGAAGCTTTGGCGTTGATTTGGTCGTTACAGCAGTTTGAGGTGTATGTGGGTTCAGGGCCTGTGGTAGTTTACACGGACCACAACCCTTTAACATTTTTGAACTCGCTACACTGTCCAAATCAGAGGCTCATAAGATGGTCCCTGTTTTTTCAGGCATACTCTCTAGAGATACGTCACATTAAAGGGAAGGACAATATTGTTGCTGATGCATTGTCCAGGGCCCCATGTCAGTAATTGTGCATCATGTTTCTTTCAACTTTGTTGTCTGTCTCTCTTAAAGATTGCTTCAAGGTACCAATAGCTGAGTTGGGAGATGACGAAGTAGCTGAAGGAATGAGATGTGGGCATGGGTGATGTCCAGGGGCCTGTGGGGACCCTGTCTTTATGGGGGGGGTGTGACGGCCCAGGGCCATCAGGAAGATTGGAGGCAGCTGGCCAACGCCTTCGCCCTACAAGACACCTGGTGTGCTACACGGAGTGTTTTGAGGGAGCAGTTACACCGTCTGGGATGCTGCGAGAATGCTCTCCTGTTGTGCACTTTGAACTGTCCCGACCGTTTCCTAATAAAGGTGGTTTCTTTATTTAGCACCGTGCCTGAGTTTTCGTTACGTTTTGTTGTGGTTCAAGAGCCAGACCATAACATATATAACTAAATATTAACTATATATTCACTTTTCTTATCACTAAGAGTGTTCAATAATCCTAATAAATCAGTTTGACACCATTTTGAATAATTTTGAGCAGTTATGTGTTATATCTGTCATTCATAACAATAAATGGCTCATAATGTGTGTCTATGTGACCCTGGTAAGGCCTGTGTTTGGCCGATTTACTCGTGTGAGAGCTTTTTAGATGCGGGATAGTCCAACGGGAGCCATGCGGGGGTGTTTGATTGTATCCGGGTCTGTTTACTGACTAAAAATCGCAAAATGCAGGGTGAACCCCCCTCTCTACATGGATTGCTCCACCCCACAGAATCGTCTGCCATTTTATGATTCATTCCGCCAGCGCATTGATCTCACTCACAGACATGCAGCACAAGATGGAGGTGCTCCAGTTCTGACGCGAGGTTTTGGAAGTTTCCCAAATCATGGCGCTACAGCTTTAGCTTCTTTAGTAGAAATAAATTGGAAGGCTAACTAATTAGCTCGCCGGAGTTTTGCAGTAGCTCGCGCAGTTGACCGCGGATACATGGTGACCCGTGTGTTAGAAAATCAAGTGTCAAATGCCATGCGGAAATCAATTTTTTTTTGAATGGCATGCGATCTACTCGCACTACCTCCGCGATCGACGTATTGGGCACCCCTGGTATATACAAATACATATGTATAAATACATACATATATATATAAATATATATACACATTTGTATATATTTGTATTTGTATACAGGTTTAGATGTACATGTGTCAATTCATAAAGTACATCAGGAATGTTTATAAGGACAGGCAACATTATTCTTAAGCGTAGGCAAGAACAAAGAAGGTATAAGAAAAGGATAATTGTAAAAGTAAGTTAGCATATTGTCAACAAAACCGCTAAAGGTGATAATCTGTTGTTTGAATGCTTTACAGATAATCGATTGTATACTAAAAAAACTTTATAAACCCTTTTGAGGTGAGCCAGAAGACTGAGCCTGGATTCATTTCCAGTATTCTTACCATGTTCATGACTGTCAGCAAGAACCTCTGTGCCGCCTCAGCACCGTGGTACTGCACCATGTCCGAGTCTGCTACCACCACTGTCTCCACAGTGTATGTTTCCTGCAGGTGAATAATGTTTCTCTTCCCGCGACCCTCTTCCCCCACTTTTGACATCTTTTCCTTCTTCTTCCCTACCAGAAACAGACAGAGAAACAGACAGGAAGACCAAGGTTATAAACACTACAGCAAAGGTTAAAGTAAGACGGTAATTCACTGTGCAGTGACGGAGTAGTTTTTTTCAGATTTTTGATGGATCAGTGTACTGAGCTGAGCAGAATTGCAGAGCAGCATTCTGCTGGTGAAATTTTGCATACATTTTTGGTCCGAATTTGTTGTATTTTCGTATTTATAACTGGAGCACTAATGGCATATGACAGAACACATTCATTAAAATTGGAAAAGGAAGCATGGGGATTAAGTGCAGCAGACTGCATCCGACTGTATCCGCTGCCCGACTGTATCCGCTGCCTGGCCAGGCAGCGGATACAGGATACAGGAAGCATCAGACTATTTGCAAAGCATCATTTCCAGCATCAGGCGGTCTCGCGGACGCACCGTCCGACGGTCGCGGACGTTCTCGGACGCGCAGGCCGGAGTCCCGCCGGCACCCCCGACGCGCTGCAGATTGCGAGGGCCCATTCATTGCTGCTCGCAGCTTTAATTCTGATTTTTATTTTAATTCTTTGGGAGCATCTGGGGGGTACTTGCCATACTCCAAAACTCACCAGATTTTGGGGACTTGTCAGGTCTGGTGAAAATAGACGTATGAAAAATGATGCATCGTTCTGTGTAAAAAAATGGCTCTCTAGCGCCCCCTACAAGTCGGACCGGTGACGCCCCTCGGCCAGTATGCCCGATTGACTTGAAATTCCAATCTTCCAAGGCAGATAATTCTGATCTAGAATACTGGACCTCTCAAAAATGGTGGATAAACTACACAATCTCATCCTTTTAGATGAGGTGGGTAGATTTGATCTGAGATTTTGGTCATTGCTCTGTGATAATTGGGAAGACAGCATTTTTCAACAAGAACAATGCAGAAATATCAATCGTCCTCAATTTTTTTTTACTGAGGCAGCTCCTTATATTGGTTTTGGGAGAATCTACAATGACCTTCAGATTTACAATCTATCGCACTTAAATATCCAATTTGTGTTGCATGTGTGGTGAGAAATGCTCAAGTTTTATTGTTAAACCAGCTGTTTGTTTTTTTATATCCTTTTAGTATTAGTTCCCTTTTCTTTCAGTGAAGTAGAATGGCATTGTTTGGAGGCTAGGCACTGTAAGAAAGATTGATTTTTGCGAATTCATCTGGACGGACTGCCCCGGTCAGTAGGTGTTTTAAGAAGACACTATATCGAAAACAATGTACAAAAAAGACCAAAAACAAAAAATTTAAGTAACTTAATTTTTTAAGTTTTTTTAAGTCTAAAGAGTGCGCTGGCTGCACACGTGTCCGACACTGAGTGCAGTCTGAGACACACACAGTCACCATATATGGTCAAATTTTTTAAAGTTAGAATTTTATTGTCATATACACAGATACGAAATTTGACTTCTGTATTTAACCCATCCCTAGCTTATCCCTAGCTTACTGCTGAGCACTTCTCAGCAGTGGGCTGCTGAGAAGTGCCCGGGGAGCAGTTAGGGGTTAGGTGTCTTGCTCAGGGACACTTCGGCATAGGACATGTAGCAGCCAAGGATCGAACCTTGCGGTTACCAGACAACCCTCTCTACCCATTGATCCACGGCTGCCCGTTACATACATACAGTAATTTCTGATATTGAAACCCACAATAGACTATATATATCATGATTTATTGGGAGAAACCAAGCAGTTATATGTAAAATCAGACAATCAACAGTCCAATATAGCCAGAATGGAATGATCCTTTGATTCATGACCACAGATTTCTACCACTGTGATGTTTCAGCTGTGATATTGGCAGTCAAAACAGGCTCCTTTGATTAAATAGTCGACTATCACCTCTAGTATCAGCCTTTCAGTCAGCGTGACCCTATTCCAATATCCTGTGCCATCCAGTCTAGTTGTCTGTGTCACTTACCTTGTACAGCAGAGCTGGTCTTGGTACAGCGTCTGTGTCGCAGCAGCCGGTGTTTTAGTCCCGAGAATGACTGGGAGGGGCCATTTTCACCCACTGGCTGAATGAATAGAATGTCCTCCCCGATCTGGATGAGCCCAGTCTGTGCACAAAACAGAGACATGTACACAATGAAAGTGTGTTTATTCCTATGAGAAGACTTTTTAACAGTAAAGAAAAGTACAATTTTAATAGCTAGGTGTACGGAGAGTGTTTAACTATAATGTAACTAGCAGTTACAGTGATGGACATTATTTTGCAGTATCTTTTTTCCAATTCCATAATCCTATAGTGATGTAAGCAAGTGGAACTGACGGGGTGAAACTATTGGGTCCGCTGGACCGCTAATGGCAGTGGTGGGCCGTGCATTTTATACCTGGGCCTTCACTGCTGTCCTGCAGCTGAAATACCACCTTATAATCTCATGATGGCGCCACAGTTATTATACGTTTTTGGGCTGTAACTATATACGTATTCGTATTGAACCGTTCAGTACGAGTCTTACTAACCGAACAATACGGTTGAATAATACTAGTGCATTAGGGAAACACAGGAGCATAAATTGAGAGAAATACAATGTTTTCAGCACTCAGGTGGGACACTGGTTCTCAACTGGTCTGACTGCGGGACCCAGGATCACCACTTCATGACAAGCCGTGACCTACTCTTCTCTTTTCGATAATGTCTTATGATTTTACTTTCACAATTCACGTAATGGACACACTGCTCTGCTAGGCCTTTCCTAATCTTAGCCCCGTGTCACGGTGTGTGTACATCTCACTCGAGTCAGGAAACTTGTCAGAATGCCCATATTTGATTGGCTGAACTGCATCACGTGATTGGTCGGTGTTTTTCCTGCACCACTGAACAAGTGCCGTAAATGCTGGAATAAGTCCGCTGCATAAAAAACATCTTACACAATTAAAGCACAAGATTTATTTTTTTTGTCAGGCAAAAACCGGGTCCGCGACCCACCAGTTGAGAATCACTGGAGACAATAGTCTGTGTGACTTCTGAACTGGAACAAATTAAACCACAACAAAAAACAACTGGGGCTCCGCAAGTGTTCTGGGAGAATACGCTAACTAGCTTAACGGGAAAACAGCAGCAACACGCATTCTGCTACACACTCAAGGGCACGGGCCATTCAGATATTAGATGTAAAAAAAACAAACGCAGTTGACTTACCAAACTCCATGCTCCTTTCTTTGTTGACAAAGAGTTTAATCCCACGGTTAAATCCCAACTCACAAATCCGTTTCTGCCATTGAGTGATAAAAAAACAAAGCTAGGTAAAAAAAAATGTCATAATTTCTTCCATATCTTTCATTCTGAACTCTCACTACTCTGACGAAGCCTCTGCTGTTACATTTCAGTCACGTGCTCGCCCACTGACCAATTTCAGCACACGCTGCACCTCACTGCAGAGCTGCACATGGAAGTTGAGCTGCACGTAATGCTGACGTAGTTGTAGGCCAGCTAGAAGGCTCTGACACGTCAAAGAATACGCCTAACATGTCAAACTAAAGATCTGATTGGTTGAAGACTATGACAATCAACAACATCGTCCCCATTCACTTAAACTGCAAAGGGATTCACTTGTGAGTCTGCAGGTCTCGGGCCTCTCTTCTTACCTAGAGACACAGAGGTGAAATCTGATTGGATAAAAGCTCTACTTAAAACAAGCTGCACTGGAAGCAGAGCAACTGAGGAAGACAGTAGCTGTGCAATGAGAAAATAAGATGATAGGAAAAATAATTTTATAAATTACAATACATGTAGTGTATTTAAGAAAAAATATTAAATTATAAAATAGCTATAACTTTGTGATTCTGTTTAGGCCAGCAGAGAAGGCTTTGCAGGCCCTGACGGCCCACCACTGGGTAATGGGGTGCACGGGCCCTGATTAAGTGAAAAGATGCACCTGCTGGCAAACCGCGTACTTTGTCTTTCTCTCCGCCGCAACGAGCGGGGGTGCCGAGTCCATCTACTTTCTCTCCCGCAACAAGCGGAGACGTAGCGTTAGGCCGCATGATAAGTTGCGTCGGTAGCGCAGTGTCTGGGAGGCATCCTGTACGGAGGGGACAGCGTGTGTTTGGGGGATGGCTGGTTCAGGTATATTACATTACATTACAGTCATTTAGCAGACACTTTTATCCAAAGCGACTTACAATAAGTGTATTCAACATCGGTTTTCGAGAGAACTACGAGTCACCAGAAGTCATAAGTGCATCTCCTCTCTTCAAACAAGCATCTAAGAGCATAAACCAGAGCGGTGCAGTGTACAGTGCAGAAACAAACAAATGCAATAAGTTTAAACTAATAAGAAAACAATAAGTGCAATAAGCTAGTATGAATACAATAGATGCTAAGCAATATATTTATAGTGCAATGGTTTTTCATTATGTCAGTGTTTCCCCTACCATTCTATTAGGGGGGCGCCCCGCCCCCCCCCCCCGCCCCCTCCGCCCCCCCTTGAAGGTTGAGTTAATTTTGTTTTCTATATAGCGCCAGATCACAACAGAAGTAATTTAAGGTTCCCTTTCCTATAGAACAGGTCTATACCTTGTTATTTTATTAAACAAACTAAATAGCCTTATTTATCTTATTTACACGACGGCATGTCATTTCTGTCTCTACATGGTCGCGCGTGTACAAATCTCCTCTGCTCTCTGTATTGCGCACGCGGAATTCCGCCCCGATGCGCACACACAGACACGTGCGCGCACACAGGTGAGCACACTCCCACCAGCAGACAGAGAGCGTGCGTCGGAAAATATGTTTCGTCAACCAGCTGACAAGCAGACAACAATATCTGCGTTTTTTAAACGCTCCCATGTGGTGAAGATGCAACACTCGCTCTCTTGCAAGTAGCAGCCGGAGTTTACTTGCTCCCATGTCCTCTTGATGGCTGGGTTGCAACTACATGGGGGTTGAAAGCACTCATAATTATATGACAGTGTTATTAGTACAGCATAGCATATCATTATTGTAGAAAACGATTAAGGTGGACTCATGATAAGAATAGAGAGAATCACACACAATTTCTTTTCACTGCTTCAATTGATTGAATTTCTGATTGTGAATAACACATACATACTGATCCGCCCATACACAGATTCACACACACAGATTCAAACTCCTAGTTCTATATGGTTATCTACACATACATGTATATACACATACATAGTACATGATACATAAGCGCATACAGTACATATATCCTCATAAGTATCTATTAATTCGTATCAATTAGATACTCTTTGGGCTTGATTTTATCTACTTATTCTGAAAGAGTTGAAATAATTATTTTCGCTAGCAAGATCTCATTGGATGATGCATTCCATTAAGCCTACTGCCAGCAGGCACATTTAAAGAAATATAATCTGATTGATTGGGGTGATGAGGCACTTAAAATGAGCCTATACATTTTCCCAACACTTTTGTCTGCGATATTTTGCCATGCTTCTTGTCTAGCCCTCGCAGCGGTGGAGGTGTTAGATTTTGCCATGATTATGGTCTTGAATTCCTCATATGCATTCATGATCATCTCCTGCTCGTCAGCGGAGAAAAAAGAGGCTCTTTCTTTGAGTTCATTTGCCATTGTACTGTTAGAAAATCATGGTTTCGGTGATCGACGCTTCCCCCTTTTGAAGTAGGACGGGCACGCGCAATTATCCTGATTACTGAAGTCTGGTTCGAATTAACGAGATTGTTTGAGCGTGGATCAGCCTTTGAGAAACCGAGATAGCCTGACTTCAATCATCGGGTTAATTTAAGCTGGCTAATAGGACATTTGATCGACTTAGTTGAACCACGTACGAGGAACGGGGCCCAGGTCTAATGTTATAGTTTGCTCTTTGTTTGCAAAATATGCCACTCTTACTTGTCCATGTTTGTGATTGGTCAGATGCTGCAAACCCCGCCCCTTTATGTGAACGTCTCTCAGCGAGTTTGAGAAACTCATTGACCGAGTTGATAACCAGCTTTGTAGGACCACTTAGCGGGATCGAGCAAGTTATTGTTAGTTAAGACAGATAACCAAAATATACCATGTGTATGTTGAACTGGCTCCGTAGTACAGGACCCTGGTCAGCTCCAATGAAGGGACATCACATCTCAAAACATGGGACAATAAAAGAGACTGCTTTGGCTGGTAGCCAATCAAAGCTTCATACTGAGTTAAAAGGTAACTGGGGCACTCGCTGTGTGCTTCCATGAGACACCAGTGTGTGTGTGAAGTAAATATTGACAGTCTGATCCCACTCATAGTCAGACTTACGATGAAACACACAGTAAGCATGTGTCTGTGGCAGAGTGGCTACCAGCTTTACTTTTTCTGACTGCTTCAGAGCCGATAGTTTGGAAACTTGGAAGTGTTAAACTATATCTGATACACTTAATAACATTTCTAGGAACAGACCCACATGACCCACAGAGCCCTCATCTTTCTGACGGAATTCAACAGCTTTAATACTTAATTCTACAACTGTCTAGTTTTACACAAATACATCATTGTAATGGATCCTATGCTTGCAACAATCATCCATATACAGTACTTGGTATATTCAATTAAATTATTTTCTCTGTCCTAACAGCACAGAATTCTAATTCCATGGTTGATTAGAAGTTTATAACTTTGCTAATAATTTGACCATTCACCTTTGGGTTGTCTTCTTAATAAATGAGTCTAACCTGTTGGTCTGATTATCTCGGTGACTGTAGCCCAAACAATACACACACAACATAAAAAAACATGTGATGATAATCCCTTACATGGGATATATCAAAGGGATTATTTAAATGCAAGAATACATTCATAAAACATATGTAATGGAGACGCTGATACTAAAAGGCCTGACAAGTCAATATTGCTGTTGCATCATCCGGGTTCTATTGGTGAGTAAAGTGTTATTATCACTGATGAGATGGGTCGACAAAACTACAAAAATAAGACCCAAGTTGTAATAAACCTTTATAAATGCTAATAAGATTGCTCAACTTTTGAGTGTGCGGTTGATGGACACAGATGTCCCACAATTCCAGAGTTTGTCACAATCAGGCTTTGCCTTGGGTGTTTTTGTGTGGTTTTCTGTAGCTCCTCACTTCCTTCACCTGTCCCTAATCAGTTCATTCAGTGTACCTGCCAGTCACACTCTCCCTCATCAGCACAACTCTCCTCACCTGTTCTAGTCACTATTTAAACCCCCGTCTTTCACTCACTCACTGCCAGATCATTGCTTTTGTTTCCCACCTACCTGCCCGTTTTGCTCTTCCTGTTCCCGATTTCCCAGTCTGTCTACCCTGTTTTTGCCCTGCCTTGTCCTGCCGGATTTCCCCCTTGTCTCGTCCTTGGATTACCTGTTTTTGTTTCGTGAGTTATTAAAACCCTTTTGTTCACTACTCTGACTGTCTGCATTTGAGTCCTCATTATGTCCCGTGACAGCAGACCACGGTTTGGAGCGTGTTCTCCATGAGTGGTACCAGCAGTTAGCGGGAACCTGTCTGGCCTATGAAGGGCCTCCGAGTTTCCAGAAGGAGAAACGTGACATGATGGACTGCCTGCTCAACCCTCGGAGGAGACAGAGGCAGAGGAAGGGTCGGACTCCCGTCCCCGCTGGGCCGCAGCGATTCCCCGCTCCTGCTGGGCCGCAGCTAACTCCAGCTCCCCGTGTCCTGTCGGCGATCCAGCCGATTCCAGTTGTTGCCTCGGAGCAGCAGCTATCCCCGGTCCCGGCCGCCGCCACCTCGGAGCAGCAGCTATCCCCAGTCCCGGCCGCCGCCGCCTCGGAGCAGCAGCTGTCCCGGCCGCCGCCGCCTCGGAGCAGCAGCTGTCCACGGTCCCGGCCGCCGCCGCCTCGGAGCAGCAGCTATCCCCGGTCCCGGCCACCGCCGCCACCTCGGAGCAGCAGCTATCCCCGGTCCCGGCCGCCGCCGCCGCCTCGGAGCAGCAGCTATCCCCGGTCCCGGCCGCCGCCGCCTCGGAGCAGCAGCTATCCCCGGTCCCGGCCGCCGCCGCCGCCTCGGAGCAGCAGCTATCCCCGGTCCCGGCCGCCGCCGCCGCCGCCTCGGAGCAGCTGCGACGACCTCCGGCCGCCGACGTCTCCGAACAGCAGCGATCTCCAGTCCCGGCCGCCGCCGTCTCCGCGCTGCAACGACCTCCGGCCGCCGACGTCTCCGAACAGCAGCGATATCCAGTCCCGGCCGCTGCCGCCTCCGTGCTGCAACGATCTCCAGCCCGTTACCCCGCTGGGTCATCAGTCTATCCCCCTGAGCCCCAGTCTATGGACTCCGTTTGCCTGGAGCCCCATCTCCGAGCCCCTGGAGACCTGTCCCCCGTCTGATCTGCAGCCCCTGGAGACCTGTCCCCCGTCTGATCTGCAGCCCCTGGAGACCTGTCCCCCGTCTGATCTGCAGCCCCTCGAGTGCAGTTTCCCTGACCCGCAGCCTCTCGAATGCAGTTTCCCTGACCCGCAGCCTCTCGAATGCCGTCCCTCCTCCGGACCCCCAGCCTCTCGAGTGCCATCCCTCCTCCGGACCCCCAGCCTCTCGAGTGCCATCCCTCCTCCGGACCCCCAGCCTCTCAAGTGCCGTCCCTCCTCCGGACCCCCTGTCTGGCAGTCTGGCTGTCCCTCCTCCGGACCCCCTGTCTGGCAGTCTGGCCGTCCCTCCTCCGGACCCCCTGTCTGGCCGTCCCTCCTCCGGACCCCCTGTCTGGCCGTCCCTCCTCCGGACCCCCTGTCTGGCAGTCTGGCCGTCCCTCCTCCGGACCCCCTCCACCCACCCGGTTGTGGACTTTGACTCTCGGCCTCGGAGGAGTTATTGATGATGTGTCATGTATAATTTTTCATTAGCTGCTGACACCATGTTACAATCATCTCTGCCACAATAGTGCACTAAACAAACTTTAAGTACAGAGTATGAACTTTCTTGAATTGCATGTGATTTCTCAGGCCCTCACCCTGACAAGTGCATTACAACAGTTATTTTTTCATATCATCAGCAAAAGTTGTGGATAGTAGCTGGTAGTTTTTGGTACCGCCTTGGTCTAGGTTCCAAGCGAGCCGAGCTGATACTAGAACTGCAGACCACTGATTGGTCAGACTCTGTCACTATTGTGACACAAAACATCCTGCCATTTTAGCCAAGCTATCCCCAATAGCTACCACAATCTTTGTATTCACTCAACCAAGATTTGAAAGATGGCAGAATGAGAATCCTGCTACACTGAGGGGTTCTGTCTGCAGTGGAAAACACAGAGAAAAGGATTTGGTACCAAATTGAGTCCAACCATGCAGTGGAAATGAGGCTTTTCCTTTCCATCATAAGGGTTTACAGTTAACTCTGTTTGTGATATGGTAAAAGGTTTGTTCCTATCTGCATACAACATTATACAGAGTAAATAACCCCATATTTTTTTATTTCCCATTAATTCTCATAAACTCCAGCTGGACAATGATATTATTGTAAGACAGCCGAATGCTTGCGTCATTGAGGATATATAGAGGAAATAAAGGAGCACGGTCTACTTTTAGAGTTGACGTCAAGCCAGTTTCTGCTGAAGAGTCCAGGACTGAGCCTGAACACCTACCTGCGCACACACTTTGCATAAGAGATTATCCAAATACCAGAGATAATGTGGAACGTCATTGCTCTCAGTGGGGAAACTCAGACTTTCTTTACCCCAACAAGAAGATCAGAGGCCTGGCTCTGCTACGGACTGTGACAGTCTTCATGGATCTTTCCATTATATTTCTATTAGTAGCTTTAAGATTGTCATCTTATTCCACACATTAACAGTCTCACAATGGTAAATGGACTGTACTTGTATAGCTCTTTTCTCTTCCGACCACTCAAAATGCTTTAACACTACATGTTATCATTCACACACTGATGGCAGGCCTACCATGCAAGGTGCCACCTGCCCATCAGGACTATCTAAGATCCATACAACATTCATACACCGTAGGCACAACTACAGGAGAAATTTGGGGTTAACTCTCTTGCACAAGGACACATCGACATGGACTAGCAGAGCCGGGGATCGAACCACCGATCCTCTGATTGAAGGACGACTCTGCTCTACCACTGAGACGCAGTCACTGCATCAAGTCAAGTCACAATTTCAATAAAAACAGTCTGAATAAAACCGTCTCACTAACAGCTTACAACCACATATCCCAGTCTTCATCGGCATCTTCCAGCCACTGAGGAGACAGTGAAATGCGGTTGAGCGCTCGATGAAAAAGTGGAAATTATATTTGAAGTGTTTTAGCATCGGCCTAAAGTTTCTCCCTTTTGTTTCCTCTGAAAATGTTTTATGCTGCTCCATCCCATCAAAATGAAATACTGTCCATGTCTTCTGCATCAGCCACATCGAGTTATCTCTGGGACCTGGGATCTATGCAAGCATTAAAAAGACAGTATTGTGACTTTGAATTGACTGACCTGCTAGCAGGTTAGTGAGTTTAAGATATTCACTACAATGACTGACGACAGGGGGAGAAAATCCTGCTCAGATTTCAGCAGAGTGCTGTTGTTAACATTGAGTCTTTTCCAGGACAACCTGCCTTCTCAGTTTAAATGAAAGAACCGTAAATTAACGCTATCAACAAGTCCAAAACAAGAAGATGGACTTACCAGGCCACCGCACGTGCTCACTGACGCCACAGAACCCGTGTGGTTGATGACGGAGCCGGAGTAGAAGCAGAGATGCTTCTTTGATAGGCGGCTGACCACGGCGCTCTGGTCCCCGAGCCTCTCCTCCACCACGAAGTCCCCCGAGACAAACGTACTGTCCCACGTCAGGTTTAAATGCAGGCTCCTTCCGAATGCAGGCAGTGAAAGAAGTATGTTGTCCGGGTCGGAGAGTCCTCTCCCCGCGGCGTTCAGTGAGCGCTGCCCGCGGCGGACAGAGCGGCCGGAGGACAGGTGCGCCTCCTGACCGGACAGCAGCCTAGGAACCACTTCATCCGTCTGCAGATCAGACTGGGCTATGGAGGAGGGGGGGACTTTCCATCAAACAGCGACCACGATGGGCAGAAATAGCCTCCTGTCCTGACCCTGTGAACTGACTGAACCATGTGCTAACACAGCCACGTTACACATCACAGTCTGCGGTAACCTAACTGCACTGAGTAGCATCAACTGTATGGAGAGTACTCGGTGTAACCTTACAAGCATACAGGAGGACACAAAACTGACCTTCAGTAGGCTAACACGTTCAGTTGTTAACTGAGGAAACAAACTGCTTTAGTTGGCCTGTACAGGCGTAGCCTACACTGCATACAGCTCACACGTACAGATATCGAAGTCACTACTTACCACTCAATCCGATGCAAAGAAGAAAGAGGAGCACATGAGTAACGTGGCTGATGTGCATGATAACGTAAAGCAAGGTAGAAACCCCTGTAAGAGTTGGCTGGTTTGAAGGACAGGGGACCGGGGGGACGGCGCACTTTTTCCTAATGTTGGACAACTTTCAGTATTTCAGACTGGACTGACTTTCTAGCGCAGGACACGCCTACACAGCACGGGCCGGCCTCTACTTAGGTCACGTTAGGACCATCCAGAGCCCTTTAAAGAGAGAGTCACGTCATCTCCGTTCACTGAGTTGTAATTTACAAACAGAGATTTTGTTTGGAGAAGTGGCATCGGCGGATTGTACATGAACTGATCTGTGACTGGACTAAGGATGGCAGGAAATAGTGATGACAGGGAGGAAGTGAGGGATTGGACTAAAGTACGGAAAAAGAAACGAGTCAGGAATCACAGTATCTGGTAGTAGCAGTGGTGGGCCGTCAAGGCCAGCAAAGCCTTCTCTGCTGGCCTAAACAGAATCACAAAGTTATAGCTATTTTATAATTTAATAATTTTTCATAAATACACTACATGTATTATAATTTTTTGCCCCATATTTTCTCATTGCACAGCTACTCTCTTCCTCAGTTGCTCTGCTTCCAGCCTGCAGTGCTGCTTCTAGTGCAGCTTGTTTTATGTAGATCCATCCATCCATCCATTTTCCTCCGCTTATCTGGGGTCGGGTCGCGGTGGCAACAGGCCAAGCAGGCTGACCCAGACTTCCCTCTCACCGGCAACATGTTCCAGCTCATTCTGGGGGATCCCGAGGCGTTCCCAGGCCAGCTGGGAGATGTAATCCCTCCAGCGTGTTCTGGGTCTTCCCCGGGGTCTCTTCCCAGTTGGACGTGCCTGGAAAACCTCCAGTGGGAGGCGTCCAGGAGGCATCCTAATTAGATGCCCGAACCACCTCAGCTGACTCCTTTCGACGCGAAGGAGTAGCGGCTCGACTCCAAGATCCCTCCTGATGACCGAGCTCCTTACCCTATCTCTAAGGCTGAGCCCGGCCACCATATGGAGGAAGCTCATTTCGGCCGCTTGTAACCGCGACCTTGTCCTTTTGGTCACGACCCAGAGTTCGTGACCATAGGTGAGGGTAGGAACGTAGACCGAGTGGTAAATTGAGAGCTTTGCCTTCCGGCTCAGCTCCCTCTTCACCAAGACGGTCCGGTGCAGCGCCTGCTTTACTTCTGCAGCCGCACCGATCCGTCTGTCGATCTCCCGCTCCATCTTACCCTCACTCGTGAACAAGACCCCAAGATACTTGAACTCCTTCACTTGAGGTAGGCACTCCGTCCCCACCTGGAGGGAGCAATCCACCGGTTTCCGGCAGAGCACCATGGCCTCAGATTTGGAGGTGCTAACTCTCATCCCCGCCGCTTCACACTCGGCTGCAAACCGCCCCAGTGAATGCTGGAGGTCACGATCCGAGGAGGCTAACAGGACCACATCATCTGCAAACAGCAGAGAGGCGATCCCGAGACCCCGAACCTGACGTTCTCCACCCCCAGGCTGCGCCTAGATATCCTGTCCATGAAAGTCACGAACAGGACCGGAGACAAAGGGCAGCCCTGGCGGAGGCCAACACCCACCGGGAACGTGTCTGACTTATTGCCGAGAATGCGGACACAGCTCCTACTGCAGTCGTACAGAGACCGGATCGCCCGTTGTAATGGGTCCGGCACCCCATACTCCCGCAGCACCCCCCACAAGAACCCCCGAGGGACCCGGTCGAAAGCCTTCTCCAAGTCCACAAAGCACATGTAGACTGGTTGGGCAAACTCCCAGAACCCCTCCAGTAGTCTTGCGAGGGTAAAGAGCTGGTCCACTGTTCCACGGCCGGGACGGAATCCGCATTGCTCCTCTTGTATCTGAGGTTCGACAAACGGTCGGAGCCTCCTTTCCAGCACCCTGGCATAAGCCTTCCCCGGGAGGCTGAGTAGTGTGATACCCCGGTAATTCGAGCACACTCTCCGGTCCCCCTTTTTGAAAATGGGAACCACCACCCCGGTCTGCCAGTCCATGGGCACTGATCCCGACCCCCATGCGACATTGAAGAGGCGTGTCAGCCAGGACAGCCCAACTATGTCCAGTTGGGCGGTCCTGGTTTTATGTAGATATTTTATCCAATCAGATTTCACCCCTATGTCTCTAGGTAAGAAGAGAGGCCAGAGGCCCTCTAACTAGACTTTGCAGTTTAAGTAAATGGGGACAATATTGTTGATTGTCATAGTCTTCAACCAATCAGATCTTTAGTTTGACATGTTGGGCGTATTCTTTGACATGTCAGAGCCTTCTCGCTGGCCTACAACTACGTCAGCATTACTTGCAGCTCAGTTTTCAGGTGCAGCTCTGCAGTGAGGTGCAGCGTGTGCTGTGATTGGTCAGTGGGCAAGCACGTGACTATTGTGAAACGAAACTTAAGCTGGCAAAATTTAGTCGGAGTAGTAAGAGTTCAAATTGAAAGATATGGAAGAAATTATGAATTTTTTTGCATTTTGCTTGGTTTTGCTTGTTTTTTAACACTCAATGGCTGACTCAGCCAGGAAAAGGATTTGTATGAACGGTGTTCCTGGCTGACAGCGTCGCACATTTTATGGCTGGGAATGTGTTTGATTTTAACTGAGTATCTTGGTGTTTGGAGCTATGCTATGCTAACCTGAGGACGCCATAGCACAGCAGGACACTACAGTGCTTTTGAAAACTTTTGGAGAGACTCGAGTGGATCTACAGATCAACGAAGACGTTCGCAGGGAAACGGAGCTCCGGTGTTCGCCGAACGAACACCGAACGACGGGCGGCGTTCGTTGAATGTACAACGAACAGACGCCGCACCGAATGCGCACTGACCGGCCGGCCGGCGAACGTTCGGTGTACGTTTGGTGTACGAACACCGAACGAACACGTTGAACGCGCTCCGAACGGACGCCGGCTGGTGTCCGTTCGCCGGCCGGTGTCCATTTGCCGGCCGGTGTCCATTTGCCTGGAATAGACCTAGAATATGTAGTTGTTGAAGTATGGTTAGGGGATGAAAGTTTGGCTGTGGTGAATTTTTACAATCCATGTCAACGATTGGAATTAGAAGCATTAGAGCAATAAAGGGACTAGACAGAAGAAGGGTAATTTGGTGTGGTGATTTTAATGCGCATAGCACTCTATGGGGAGGGGAAAAGACTGATAGGAATGGATTGATAGTAGAGGAGGTGATGGACTCGACTCCTTGGGACTTGCATGTTTAAATTATGGGAGTTTCACAAGAGTGAATTACAAGTCAGGTAATGAGTCAAGTTTAGACCTGACCATAGCATCATTGGCAGGTATTTGTGTGTGGAAGGTATGGAAGCATTCTACTGTTGGAAGTGATCATTACCCCATTTTCTGTAGGAAGAGGAAGCAGGGTGGGTTCAGAAGATACAGCAGAAAGGTGGGTATTTGGAAAGGGTCAGTGGGATACATTTAGAGAAATTAGTGAATCAAGGTTTAAAGTTATAGATAGAGAACAGGATATAGAAATATTCAATGAAAATGTGAGAGATGCAATAATTGGAGCTGCCAATCAGACAATTTAAAGGAAAACCGGTACAAAGAGGCGGAAGTTAGTTCCATGGTGGAATGATGAGTGCAGTGAGGTAATAAAGAAATGGAATAAGGCTTTTAAGGTTTCAAAAAACACCCACAATTTCAAAAATGTAATAGAGTACAAGAGAATGCAAGCAGTAGTACGGAAAACTATCAAAGAAACTAAAAGGAAGTATTGGAGATCATTTTGTAACACAATAGGGAGAAGCACTTCAATTAATCAAGTTTGGGGGATGATAAAGAAAATGAGTGGAGTAAAACGGGAGTGGGGGTATCCAGTATTGGAAAATGGCGGAGTGGTGGCTAACGATGATGAAGCAAAGGCAGAAATGTTAGCTAAAGCACTGATTGAGGTCCATAGTTCTGGTAATATGTCAGAGGAGGGTTTAAATGGAAGATATAGAACAAGTGAAGCAAATAAAGAATTGTTGGAAACAGATGAAGAGAGGGAAGATGCAATTAATGCTCCCTTCACTTTGGAACAAATAAAAAGGGCCATAAGAAAATCAGGGCTAACTGCTCCAGGTAAAGATCAGATTTGCTACATCATGTTGAACCATTTGTCTGATTTAGCATTAGAGTTGATTTTGCAATTGTATAACAAAGTTTGGCAGGAAGGAACATTACCAGGACTTTGGAAACCAGCAGTTATAGTACCCATCAGAAAACCAGGAAAAGATCCCACTAATCCATCTAACTATAGACCAATAGCATTGGCTTCCCACATGTGTAAAATCATGGAGCGAATGATCACAGAAAGACTAACATATTATTTGGAAACAAGGAATCTTCGGTCAAAACATTCAAGTGGATTTAGAAAAGGGGAACAATGGATCCAATAGCATGTCTAGAAGCAGAGGTGAGGAAGGCACAAGTGAATAAGGAGGTAGTGGTAGCAGTGTTTTTTGATGTGGAGAAAGCGTATGATTTACTGTGGAAAGAGGGACTATTAATCAAAATTTAAAAATTAGGAATATCGGGTAAAATGTTCAGATGGGTTAAAAAGTTTTTGTTTGGTCACTCTATAGAAGTGCGAGTGGGAAGGTGTTTGTCGGCCAGCCATTTGGTGGACAATGGAATACCACAAGGAAGTGTGATTAGTCCTTTATTGTTTTCGATAATGATTGACGATGTATATGAAAATGTTGGACAAAATATACGGAGATCTTTATTTGCAGATGATGAGGCACTGTGGAAAAGAGGTAGGAATGTGGAATATGTTGTGAAACAGATGCAGGAAACAATCAAAAGAGTGGAACAGTGGTCATTGGAATTGGGATTTAAATTTTCAGTGGAAAAAAAAAGTAGAACGGATGTAGGTATAAACATTTAACAGCTATATACAATATAAGTATAAATATATATCCAAAAGAAAAAGTGTAAATATATATACATGTGAACATAAACCTATACAATGGCATGAATTGAGGTGATAGTGCAAGTGATGGTAATAGTGCAGTACAACTTATTTATTGTTCATCAGAGTGATGGCCAGTGGAAAGAAGCTGTTCCTGTGTCTGGTGGTTTTGGCGTACAGAGCCCTGTAGCGCCTACCAGAGGGGAGGAGTTGGAACAGCTTGTGTCCAGGGTGTGATGGGTCTGCAGTGATCTTTCCAGCCCGTTTCCTGACTCTAGAGGTGAACAAGTCCAGGATGGAGGGCAGGCTGCAACCAATGATCCTCTCTGCAGACCTGACAATTAGTTGCAGTCTTTTTCTATCCTGTTTGGTGGCTGATCCAAACCACACAGTGATAGAGGAGCAGAGAGCAGACTGGATGATGGCTGAGTAAAACAGGATCAGCTGCTCCTGAACACCGAACGAACACAGGCCGGTGTTACGTCCCTACTGGTTTCTGGACCTACTGGTTTCCCTTCCGTGCGTGTGTTGTGTTCGCTTAACAGCTGCAGCGGTTTTCTGCCTCTGTCGCCTGATTCGTCACACATTCCCAAACATATTGCTGGAGATCTAAAAGACACATCTCATATCAATTGCAGGGATTGCGATTGTATAAGTGAGCACTACATCACAGCCACGTATAAAGAAATACATAGAAGAAAATACATTTATGCAAAGATCGCAGGAACCTGGATTCGAACTCCGTCCAGCAAAATAGTAAAACTTCCTGAGGCAGATGCACTACGCACTCCACCACCTGTGCTTAATAGTTTGACAGACATTCAGTAATTTATTCATTAAGTCATACCTCATCAGTGTCCAGGAAACGTTTTGGTTTAGGCTGAACTGAAACAACTGGTTCCCTGGGGCGTATCTTCGAACACTTCCAAACCTTTTTATCAATGCTTTTTCGCGAGGCTTCGGCCATACCGACGCATTTTGACAAAAACAAATGTACTTTTGTGACGATTATACTGTGATCGTACTTTGAAAATACACTAAATAATTGCGAACTCTTGTTCGGTCGGTCAGGATACGTTTTGGGGGGCCATGCTTAAAAAAATCTATTATGCACAATGTCACTACTTCAGCTCTCAGTTGTTAGAGGGTAGACTTCTAGCCACTTTGTGAAGTAGTCCACACACATACGTAACCATTGTTGGTGCATTTCAGCTTGCCAACTAGATCCATCCAGACTAGTCTGAAGGACTCAGTCACCTTAGAATGCAAACCAAAGCTTACACCAACAAGACTTCATACAACATGTTAAATTGAATGTTTATTCACCTCTACGGGTTATACTGAATTGTCTCCATCATAGAGGTCCTGTTTTTCTGGCAGGCATCACATTGGGCAATCTGACCAACCATGGCAAAGAATTTGTCAACAAAGTAAGTTGATTTCGGAGACAAGAGTTCGCAATTATTTAGTGTATTTTCAAAGTACGATCGTCACTCTATAATCGTCCAAAAGTACATTTGTTTTCGTCAAAATGCGTTGGTCGTGTATGGTCGAAGCCTCGCGAAAAAGCATTGATACATATGTTTGGAAGTGTTGGGAGAGACGCCCAAGGGAACCAGTTGTTTCAGTTCACCCTAAACCAAAATGTTCCCTGGACACTGATGAGGTATGACCTAATGGATAAATACCTGAATGACTGATGCAACTGTCAGAGTAAGTGGCGGACAGCGTAGCGCGACCTTCTTTGGGTTTATTACTATTTTGCTCATTTTTTAAAAAATATTGATGAAATGCTGGCCCAAGGCTCGAACGTTCTATCCTACAACCTGACTATAAATCATTCATAATCCCACCCAGTATTTCCATAATACATAAAAGCCTCCAACCAGTTTTCTGTGCTTGTTTTCTCCAGTTAAGTGGCGAGAAGTATCAAACACAGTACTTCATGTGGCAATAGTAAACTTCCTCAAATATTTTTGTCTTTTGTATATTTGGAAAAGGTACTGTATATCCTGTAATGACTGTACAGTACACCGACATGCAGTTTGTGCTATAAAACCATATTATTAAAGATCTGTGATGTCTGTGTGAGTCATTCAACAAGTCCTCCAAAACAATAAAATATGTAGTTTGTCAATGTTCTCAAGAAAATCCCAAAGTAGTACTTTCTGATCTGGCGCCCCAATGAGCAGGGCAACATCCTTCGTCTGTACCTTCAAAAACCTTTAAGGAAATATTGTGGTTTGGGTTAAAATGACTACTTTACTGAGTACAGTTTTGTAGATAATCCCATCAACCCCAACCTCCTCCCTACAGATATGTTAGGAGAAAGGACTTCCCTAACAAGTGAATGCAGCCAAGTAGTGGGCCCTGATATACTTTAATAACAGATGACCATGAAGGCAGCAAAACAGACAGAGAATGAAGTTCTGTTGGTGTCTTTTGGGTGTCTGCGTACGCTGACATGTTCCACCCATGAAAAGTTGATGACACCAGTCGTAGTGATAATACATTTTTGTCAGTGTATAGATGTCTGCGCGGCCCTTGCAGACATGAAGAGATCTATGTTACACTTACCCTACAAGCTGCATGGATGCAGAAAGTATAATTTGAGTTTCTCACTGTAATAGATACAAAGACATGAAAATGATATCCTTTTTCTCATATGACTCCAATGAAATGACCCCAAATGTATGCTTTTGATAAATGGAAATGTTCTATCATAGTCATATTTGCTTTAATAAATCTAAACATCACATTTTGTTTATGTTTGTCAAGTTATCTATGGGAATAATTCCAATACATCATACAAATGTGTGCATGTACAATATAAGTTGATAGGTGTTGATCTTAAATCTTAAATCTTGTTTCAATGTTTCCCTCTCTAAATAGCAAGATGTGATTTTTCATGGAAGGCCACTGTTTGACAGTGTAGTATTAAATATAGACTTTTAAAGTAATGCATGAAGGTATGATGGTAATCTTCTGGAGAAGTCTATTGTGTTACAGGATCCCATTCATGTTACGATAAATAAGCTGTGCAAGCTAACGGAGGGTTGATATAAAAGCCAACAGGCCTTGATTGATGAAACAGGGAGGTAAAGCAATGCACCAGCTCTTGCACTTATCAAACAATATGAAACAAGTTAGATGTGGTGATAAGTGTGTTTTGTTTGTGTTTTGTTTGCTTGTTTGGTCTGCTTGTCTCTTGATTTGCAGGGCAGTGAAGCGCTGCCACGGATAACATTGTGGGAAGGGAAATAAAAAGAGCCAAAAACATCTCAAAGTTTCTCTCGCTGTACGTGTGAGCAGTTTAAAGCACTGTGAGAACAGCAAGGCTTATTTGGGCTAGGTTGTGCGCCAGTATCTGAAGAAATCACAGGATGTCCTATTTTTCAGTTCTATTTCTCCAACACATTCTTACTCCCAACTGATGAAATACCACTGCTTGGTCAGTGGTCCGTAGATTCAAACCATGACGCTCTAGGTTCACCTCTAGCATCAGTTTTGGACGTGTTAGAGACGACTTTTCAGTTTCTGCTCCGTACATGCATAAGATCTCTTTCCAATATAAACATTTTGCATAGGTTTACTTACACAACAAAATTACTTAGTTATGTTTAGGAAAAGATCATGTTGTGGGTTAAAATAAGTATATTAGTTTTGAAAAATAACTACTCTTGATATGCAACTACTGTTAGTAAAAGTTGGAAGTTAAGTAACTAAACTACAGTAAAATAAGTCAATGGACATGAACAGTGGTCTCCTGGGTAAAAGTCATGTGTTTGTTGGACCCATACAACCTACATGGTTCTCTCACTATTTAAACTACATCAGTTGCTCTGATAGACTGATAATGATATGGTTGGGTTTACATTGCAGTCAGTTGAATGCAATGACCAAGCTGTGGTATTTGGCGCTTCGAGAGCGAGACCGGGTGTATTTCTTACATCTTTGGCTCTACTGATCAGACTGATCATAAGTCAGTATACAGTCTTTGACCGGCTGATGTTCTCCGGTGGAGATAAGCATCCAAAGTCGCCATTCATGTTCTTCTTGTTCTCCTTCTCATCAACTGCCAATCCATTGCCACGCTTATGCTGGTCCTCACTTTCCTCCTCTGTAAGGCTGCTCTCTCCTTCTTCTTCTTCATTGTCACTTCTTTCATCTCTGGTCAGCTGTGATGTAAGAAAGAGACAAATACAGTAGATTTAAAGAAAGAAAAAAAATAAGGCAAAGGGTTGTAAAGAGGAAAAAATGGAAGGAGAGGGAGTGGATGTTCAGCAAATACAACAAACAGCTGGTGGAGCCAGCAGCCAAAGACAAATAGAACCAGACATCTACCTGAAAGCAGATTTGGAATATGTGCTGCAGAGAACGAGGAGCAGGAGTTTGTGGTTCATGTCAGTTGAAACAATTTGAAAAAGTTGAACAGTTGAATCTTTTTATTTGCTACTTTGTTGCACTTTTTTTTGAAAATTGATTCAGTGTAACTGTTAGTCTGAATAATCTCATAGCCTGTTTTCTCATTGAGAGTGTATGTGTGTTACAGTAATGGTATTGTCGAATATCAGTTATTTGCCCCTGGTAGTTAAGCAAACTGTTTCCATCAGAGCAGCACACAGAGCGGAGACAAACTGTGTACAGGTGGACATAATGAGGTAAGTCTGCTAAGTGATCATCAGTGCTGGCAGGTTATGTACTGTAACAACTGGTCACAGCAACATTACTTTCAACATGAATCACAAATAAAACACAACCATTGTAAAGGTAACATATATTCAAATTATGAATCTTATTGAAAGAATAATTATTCTTATTACAACTCAGGTATGGAGTTTTCCATTATTTCCCTCAGTTACGAACTCTGTAACCAAGTTAATGGTTGAAATCTGGGAACATGACATTACCACCTCTCAAAATGATCTGTTTTGGCATTTTTCCTTCTAGACTGTAATTGTTCACTACTATGGCTAAATTAAGCTGAGGAACAAAAACTCCTTGGTTAAGGTTAATGAAAAATAGTGGTTATGGTTAAAAGATATCAACACCGACTGTTGACAAGTAAGGTGTCTGCTGTGTTAAAGACACATGCTTTGTTGAGCCAATACATTCACACTACTTCCCCCTTGGCTCCAGGCAGTCATGAAGGTCACAGGGCCGTGAGAGGTACAGTAATTGTAAAGGAAAGTAAAGGAAAACATGCGTTGCTTTAGATATGTGAACAAACTACTGATGGTGCTGACTGTCTCAAACTTGGACTGTTGTCCATCAGAGGTAAAGTAGAACGCAGTGTGACAGGGTGGATGGATGGATCAACAAAATGTCATGTTTAGGGTTAGAATGTATACTTAAATTCATCCAGTACGGTGTGGGAGGGTTTATGTCATGTTCTGCTTTACAGCTTAATTAAAATGATGTCTTGTGATTTCTCGATGGCTTTATCAGACCACATTACACAGACATTACACAGACCACCATTATTTGCTTGGCAATGCCAAGCAAATAATTTGTACCGATCAAAACATATTTGGAAATATTGATAGACAACAGACTTACAGTGCCAAACATGAATTTTCTGATCATGCAGACAATGAGGTAGGCCCAGAATATGTGCAGACAGAGAAGAACCACCAGCATCACATTGAAGAAGTAGTAGCCAAAGAAGGCAGGGTAGTGGTGAACGGGGTAGACCCAGGTACAGTGGATCAGCCTGAAACACAGCAGGATAGAAACATCAAAATCTTTAATGTCCAGTCATGACCTGTGGCCTGTGTAATTAGATTATGTTGTGCATTTTGGTACAAATTAAATGCTGTAGAACTTTTATGTGAGCAGATGGAGGTGGGATGGGTTAGCTATTGACCCAAAGGGAGGTAGTGGATATAAGAAACCAAACTCAAACCTATAGTCTTATGTTTTTCATTTGTTTTATGCTAATCACTTCTTCAGTAAAAAACATAACCTCTCATATACCCTTGGTATATTATATTAACCTATCTTAAATGTATTTAATCTTTTATTTAGCAAGGAATGTGCAAGGTCTCTTCTTCCAGAGAGTCTTGGTAAAGACGGCTGCAGTTTAACATAAAAAATTTAAATGAATAATTAAATAAGTAAATGTAAACTAATATGCAAAGCTCCTGGTTAGCTCTAGTCGTATATTTACAAATGTCTGATGCGAGAATGTATTTGTTTGTTACATGAATGAATGGCAATAAATATTGATATGTTCTTGATCACTTTGTGTTGTGTCTATTTGCCTTTTCTGTTCAAAAACTATGTGTTTTGAGGCACTGCTGGCCTTTCAATGTCATTTATAAATGCTTTGTAAGGCATAGATAGTCCTCACTTTAGATGAGGTCACACAAAATACTTTACTAAGGACTAGTAACTACCTGAATTAATCATGAATTGCAGTATTAACACACGTTTATAAAGCATATATCCCTAACCATTAGTGCATATCTAAATCATTATAAATGCATGAATAATGTACATCTAAATAAGTTATTAATCATTTACTAACACTTTATAAATGATCTTATTAATCATCTACCAGTCCTTAATAATTGGTTTGTAAAATATATAATACTTAATTTACAAATGGGGAATCCATCATTTATAAAGTATGAAAACACAATCATGAAACACAATAGACCAGCTTATTAATCAAGAATAAAACATTTATAACTGTTATGAACTGCATACTAATGAATTATGAATGTAGGAACAATGCTTTATAAATGATGAATTAAGTGTTTACTCATACTTAACTAATGCTACATCATGTGTAGTTATTATAAAGTGTTACCCACCATAATATATAAATGTCCTAATCCAACAGAATATATAGAAAGAACCTGAAATTAACTTTAGAGCTTACTGTCATATAGCATTCTCATGCATACACATAGTGTTCAGATTCTCTCTCACACACATTGACACACATACACCTCATTTATGAGCTTACCAGAGTGGGAAGATGATCAGTCGTGTTATCATAAACACGAAGGCAAACAGAACAAAAAGACTTTTGCAGGTTTTCTCCCATTTGGCGTAGTTGAATAATTTTGCAGACTGAAAGATAAATACGTTGTATGTTAATTAACCATATTTCAAAACACAGAGCAAGTTTTAACTGATTCACTGTGTATTTTCTGCTGTACCATGGTATCATCGTAACTAGTCTGGTATCTATTGGAATTACTTTGATGGACGAATCTGCCAACAACAATGCCAATGTCCAGTACCAATGCAGGAAATAGTGTGTCCTTTATGTAGAGAGGCAGAAGTTAAGCATTTGGAGATTGGGGTGGGGGATGGCATTTAGCGTGGTGAGTTACATAGGGCTACATCCTGCCCAATTAAGCTTAATTGCCATTCTCCACCTGTCCATCAGATGACTTCGGACTTTCCTCACTTTATGAATCCAATGAGGTGACTCATTTGTCACTGTCACTTCAAAGCCTTGGCGAGTGAAGTTGCTACCTGGATGGGCAGAGTACTTTGCCATCCTTCAGCGTCACTGTCAATCTTGGGCCTGCTAAGCGTACTGCCTGCTTGCCAAACTGCACCCCAGCCCGCTAGGTTCCAGCCCACACCCTGGCCTGTTGGCCTCCAGCCTGCACCCTGGTCGGCTACCCTCCTGCCTGCACCCTGGCCGGCTACCCTCCAGCCTGCATCTCAGCTAGCATGCCGCCTGGCTTTCCACAGTTTATTTGCCATTAGTTTTCATGGATTTACAGGGCTGTTCAGTATCAACAGAAGAAAGGGCTGATACAATTTGAGTGGCTGTGACTGACCTCCAGTAAAACGTCAGAGGCATCATGGACAATAATAACCAGCGTTCCTATTCGAATGTAGTTGACACACCAGGAAAATGATAAGAGGACCAGTGTGGCCAAGTGGTGGATGATTTGCTCCTTAAAGTCCTATAGGAAGAAAAAAATCGAATTAGTCAATTAACGTGGAGAACACATATAGTCTTTACCAGACTACTAAACTAGACTCCCACAAGCAACATCTTGAGGCTAAAATATTAATTAAATGTTACATTTTTCTTTTCTTTTCTTGGAGCCTTACCAGTGGGGCTTACACTTTAAAGTTTGTCCTGAGGGTGGTACGAGACAAATGGTAACGAGGGGGGAGTTGGGGTGTCATACCAATCTACCAATTAGGTTGCAAGGTCACATTTCTTGTGTGCTGATTGGAACTTTGTTCTGATGGTGGCACTAAAGTTAACCTCAGGGGACCATGGAAATCCAGCCATTATTGACATGGACCATTTTGTAAGCACAGCATTTTCATGTTAACGTTGTTCAGGACTGGGTGAGTTGGAGATATCCGTGAAGACTAAGGCCAGTTGTTCTGAGTAGTGGCTTAGTAAGGCTGGGTTAGACCATCTGGGTCTAATGCTTTGTCTTTGTCCAACTCACAAAACACCTTTTTCACTGCATTTGTTTCAATTGTGAATGGTGATGGTGGCTGAGAGGTTGGGAATGGAAATGTTTTTCCAGTGGGCTTCTCAAACCAGACCAAAAAAAGCATTCAACCTGTCTGGTAGTTCAGGGTCATCACTTGGTGACTGTTTTTCGTAATCAGTCAGTTCTTGAAGAATTTTCAGTGAAGCTTCCTTAAACAGTCCCTTAATTACTCAGTAAATACATGGCACATAGTAGTATACCATTAGATAATTACCTGTATTTACCATTAGTAAATAAGGAGGTAAATACTAAGAAACTGCAGCTGAAATACTAAGAAAAACTTTCACCATTACCCATGAACTCAACTAAGTTGTGATTAGTTGTGACTGGTTTAGGTTGGTCATAACTCAGATCGCGTACCTTTTAGGAAACTAGGCAACCATTTCTTCAAAACAACTCTTCTATTACCCCTCAGTTTAAGTTACAATTGTAGTTACCCAAAGTTTATGTTGGTAATAGCCCAAGTTTAGTTTAGAGTGCAATTACTGAAAGTCTGCATACATTTTGATGAAACAAGTGTGTGATTGGTCTCAGTCCTTTTTTAGACAGAATTAAAGTTCACAGCTCACTGCTGCCTGCGACTTTCATCTCGTCAATTGAGCTGCTTCCTTCTGTTGAGTGAAAAAGGGTTTGAACCCAGAATGGCTTATATTTAGTGTTCAAGCCCCAAAGGGGCGGAAACCTATTGAGTTTGTGTTGGTAACAAATAGGGTTAACCATTATTATTATTATTATTATTATTATTAGGTATTGGTAGATCCTAGAAGCAAATTTCAAGCGTTGCTTGTATGAAAACATAATTAATCTACCTCAATTTTTTATTTATTTAGACAAAACCAAAATGTGTTGTTGGTTGTGCGCCGCTATGCTCTACAAGTAGGCTGTATTTAGTGTTGCAAATCCATGTTGGAAAATGGGGTTGGGGAAGATCAAATGAGTGGTCAAAATATAGAAGTCATATAGAAGTCATCCATAACAGAGCTAACGATGGAGCTAACTATAGATCTTACTGTTTGCAAAAAGTAGCCTAACACTCAATTTCTCCAGTGTGGCATCTCTGCAACCGTGTGACACACACACTGACTGAGCAGCAAGCACACAGCACAGCATTAGATGAACTAGCTAATAACTACACTGCCAGAGCTAGCGTAGGCTAATCTCCTTCAAATAAGCTTCACAAATTCCAGGTAAAAAAATAAAAATGAACCTTACGTATGTAATCTACCTCAGCAAAACTAATAAAAAATAAAATAATCAAAACAAAAATAGTGGCATAGCAATGTTTGTATCAGGCTTAACCCCTTACACCACTTTCAATTTGTTTATAAAAAATGCCATCAATACTGATCATTTATATAAAAAAAGAATTGCATATATGTGAACATACTGTGTCAAAACTTGATATTACTTCTGTTATGAGAATAAAATCAGGAGATTTAAACATCAGGGGTCTCATGTATAAAACAGTGCGTAGGATCCACACTAAATGTTTGCAAACGTACAAAGGAGGAAATGCACGTACGGCAAAAGATATTCTGATTTATAAAACCTTGAGGACGCCTGCCAGTGAGCAATTTTCTTTCATAAATCCCAAATCAACTTGTAAATGTGTAGTGTAATATTAAGCAACATTTTATTTGAGGTTTGAGTTGGTTTATGTATTTTATAATTTAAATGTGCTTATAGTTATGGCTCAATAGTACAATGACAAAGAGAATCTATACGTGCAAAATAACGAGATATGAAGTGAAATTAAATGTGTGAGAGGAATCATACACGTAATGATGCATCTTACATAAAATTTCTAAAGTCTGGCTTCAATTGACCACCTCACCATCTGTGTCTCCAAAATGTTTGCACGCATGGGTCAGAGTTTCCGTATAAATGCGTACATTCTCCTGTCAAGTTTGTTTTTATAGATCACAGCTTTTGCATGGGGAGTGGCATACACCTCTTTCAGAACCCGTTCTGTGCGTACGTAACGGTTATAAATGAGACCCCTGGAGGGCAGGAGATTTAACAAAGTTGAAATTTTGGCCTCTCCCAACTGCTACTCACCTTTCTCTTGACATCAAAGGCAACGCTTAAGAGAAGAGAACCATAGAAGCTCATCTCCAAGATATAATACCAGTACTGAGACTCCAGCATGGACTACAGACAGAGACACACAAAAACAGAGTCATGAAGAGATGAACAACATGTAACATGAAGCTACAGTAAATCTCAGTCACACTGACAAAATGTTTGTCCCTTAAGGCTCTGCTCTTTGTCCTAACCCCTTTAGCTAAGGAAGGAACAGTAGAAGACTCTATTGTTCACTCATTTCCATTTTTTAAAGCTAAGAACAGGCTGATATTTATGGGATCATATATCATATATACAGTAGTGTGTTAAACTGAACTACGCCATAGTATTTAAAATGAAGGTGCCTTTTACATGAAATATTAAAGCCAGATTTAAATTCTTCCCACTCACGAAAAAAAACATAGGTGTTACTTCACTTTCACTCAAAGTGAAAATTAGCATGTTTTATAAAGAGGAGAGGCTGTGAAATGGCCTTTACTGAGAGACCACTGCTAGTATTTGGTAACACTGAAATTATAGCCAAGACTTGATAAGTTATCCTGAGAGGCACATTGTGTCTTTATGTGTGCATCGTAGTTCAATGGAAAAGGACACTGTGTCTAAATATGAAGTTTTTAATATTTTATGGTCCGATTGCATGGTAAAAGAAATGCATAGAATATTCGATTGATTGTTCCATTGGTCATCTTACCTGCTGCATTAAGTGATGTTTCCCATATGAGTAAAGATCATAAACCATTCAACACAAACTTGACCATTCAACACAACTCCAAATTCCATGGATTTGGGATTCTGTATGGTGCAGCTCTGCTGCTTTACTATTGGTCAGATAAACTATCAGTCATATTCTGCCAGGATCTCTGAGAAGTGACCACAGAACTCCAATGATCGGCAGTAGGACTTCCTTAAATTTGAAGTTAATATTTTGATATATGGTAAAGTTATATACATGTATAGTGCTTTTCTAGTCTTTTTGACCACTCACAGTGCTTTCACACTACTTGTCGAGTAAACGCAAATTTGTGCCAGGTGGCACCAATGGCGTGACGCAAATAACGCTAAAACGCAAACTTCAGCCCATTTTTGTGTGACGCTGTGTTGCGACAGCCTATCAGCGCTGAGATGCTCCTCCTGTCACCACTGACATCCTGCCGTTGTTGAATAAGGAAAAAAATATTGTAGCCGTAGGTGGGCACCCAGAGCTCTACGATACCTCATATTAGTAGATACCGGACGAAACTATGTGGCAACTGATGGGCAGGTGGCACATTGCATGGTAGCCCCTGCCATCAGTGCATGAATGGGTGTGGTGGCCACAGCCCAACAATGGAAGTTACCTGGCTGCTGAGTTCCCCTTCCTGGTCTGACAAAAGATGGGGCTGAGGGTAGAGCCTGATTTTATGCAGAGGCCTGAGCCAAGGACCATACCAAAAGCTCTGACAGCATGGGGGGATCTGGGCGGTTTTGGGTTACCTTGTCGTTGTTGTCTGTGGTGTCCTCCCCTGTATGCTTTTGTTGGTTTGGTCAGCCAATATAGGTTTCCCTCAGTTTCATTCTAGGACGCTTTCTGTTGATGGAGTTAACGTCTTGTTTTGTTAACCTTATTCTTTGATAGAGTTATGTTTTGTTGACTTCTTTTATAGGGGCCCTATAACTCTGTAAATTAATGTCTTTGGCGCTGATTTCTATTGAATAATCTTTGGGAAAATAAACCCACTTTTGAATTTAAAGCCTGTTTCCTTGTGCCTTGACTATTTGGTCCGCGATGATGAATGAATGCCATGACGATGATGATGATGATGCCATGAATGATGGCATGTAGTGTAAAAGCGCTTTGAGTTGTCGGAAGACTAGAAAAATGCTGTACAAGTACAAGTCCATTTACGGTTTGCCTAATAATGGTTGTTACACCCAACGTGTCCATAGCTCTTTTTATTTATTGTTGGTCATTTTTCTGTAATTGTTTGAGTTTAGTCTCCAACATCATTTAGTTTCTCTATCATCATTTAGTCTATCATTGTATAACAGACTCTCCCCCCATACAGTTTTCTCAGAGTACATTTTAACTGACCTACTTTCCAAGTACATTTTTACTCAAATAATTTTACCTTTACTCAAATAAAACACTTACTAACTATTCTACATACCTGCAAACTTGTCGCTTTTTTGAATCAAAATATGTCATCCACGTGAATCGTGTAGATCCCTAGAGTTTAAATTCTTTTTTGGGGGGGGGGGGGGTCAACCAGCGTTTTTCAGATTAGAGTGAGGCAAGTGCGAAACTTTGTCGACTGTTAACGTTCATCATTATCGCAATTTAGGAGGAACAAAAACGTAATGTGATGAAACATGCAACCCCCCGTGTTCCGGTTCAGTTCACGCGGTCACTCATTAACGTTAAACTGGAACACCGGCGGATGTAGTTGCAGGTTATTGTTTTTTTAACTCAAAGTAGAATGAGGCGAATCATGTAGATCACAGATCGAGCCGTGATCCGTAAAAAGAAAATTATACATGGATCAGAAAGAACTAAAGATCACACGAGGGTGTCCTATCTTTCCAAACTACTGACAATACAAAATAAAAAAGGGGAAAATATGAACTTTGTCATAATAAAATTCAAGCACCCCCGACAGGGTTTCGGGTTCGGGTGCTTGTCACCTTTTTCACCTCTTATGAGTTTGCAGGTATGATTCTAGTACTCTTTCCATCCCTGTAAATAAGTGATAAACCAGTTTATCAGACCGATAGGATAAAAATATTTAGATGACGACACAGAATCTCTAGAAATAAGAAATGAAACTTGCAAACTTTAATATGAAAGTGAATGAGTGAAGGGGTGCAACTATTCTGACACCTTTTTATTTGAGTTTAATTTATGTCTGGCAATTATGTAGGCTATAAATAATTTTATAAAAAAATGTACATAAAGGTAAAGTACATTAGTATGTCATGATATTTCAGTGCTGGTGTGTGCTTTATAGTATCACTGCACATGTTGGTGGAGGTCACTGTAATGGCCATCATAAAGGACGTTCCAATTCCCCTTTTTCTGCAGTTAGGAGCCAGGATTTGAAGGACTAGCCTGCACTGAAGTCTTGTATTAGACATACATACCTCTTTATTGGAAAAACCTTAGTGATTGGACACTGCAGCTTACATGACTGCTCCAAAACAGCATCACAACATCACTGCAGGTTCATAGTGGGACAAATAGAACTAACTCAATTATATTACTCGCAAATTGATGTACTCAATTTAGTTATCATGCCTCTGTATGACAAAGACAAAAAAAAATATTAAGTGACTACAAAGTGGTACAAAGGAGGGCAGATTTCTAAGGACATTTGCGAGATAATCATAAATACAATAACGGCAGACGACAGCTGTTTTGTACTTGTGAGAAATAAATATTCTCAAGGAATCAAGGAAAGAAATGTCGAACAGAGCTGGGTGGTGTATAAAGGCGAGTGAATGTAATGTTACTTTAAGTTTTGGTGTGTTTGTGTTCATGCATGCTGCAAGATCTTCGCTGATCAGATTTATGTTGTAGTCATCATATATTCCAGTATGGACAACTGAGGCTCATTAAGTTTGTTCCATTATTCATGAAGATTGATCAGAAGTTAAAGTTTTCCACATCAATACCTAATGATTAAGTAAAATTAAACAATACTGATGCTAATATGACGATTATGGTGTAATATAATGACTAAAAAGTAGGCTATACAAACCTGCTTTGGAAAACCCGTCCATACTTCCCAAGTGTCATAAAACCAGTCTTTCTACAAAAACATGGAGAGAAATGTTATATTTGTGCATTTTATTTGAAATGTAGATGGGCATAGCTTTTATGAAAGCTAAAGAGCTACACCCACAAGGCTGCTAGTAACACAGCTTTCTCAAGTTGCTTTTCACATTAAAATGTAATGTTTCTGGCTGAGATGGGGTACTGTTCCAATCAAATGAGCTACTCACATCGTACAGTGCTACTATTCCTCCGAAGAACGCTGACAGGTAGAAGACAAACCTCCAACTGTAGGAAGCAGAGAAGAGACATTAGATCATGGCTAGGTAATGCATTATTTTTATCACTATCTTATTATCAAACACACAAATTAGTGACCTAGCTTCTCTGAATTTCTTCAGTGTTCCGGGAAGGTCCTGACTGCGTCTTCTTCTGAACCAGCGTAAAACTTGCCTCACTGACAAACTGCTTTTCTTAGACAGCCCATCAATGCCTGCCTGAAAAGGAGTGAACACACACATACACAAAAAAAGAAGGGTTGAGTGTGGGAAATAGCAGCACTGATGAAAAAGCAGGCGGAGCTCCTGGGGAAGGATGTGTCCCTCCAGGAGAGGGGAACAATGGGTTTTGTTCCTACTATTTTCTCATACCAAAGTGTTGGCCCGTGTCCGTCTCGCCAATTTGTTCACTTCCCTCAACCAGAGAGATGTCTATTTCCACATTCCTATCATTGCAGAGCACAAAAGAATCCTGTGTTTCCCCTTCCAGGGAATACAGTACCAGCTCGACCGGCTATCATTTGGCTTTACTCTGGCTGCGTCCACTTTCTGCAAGTGTATGGAAACCGCACTGGAGACATGAAGAAGGAACGGGATCTGGGTTTTGTCCTTGTTAAGACAACCTAATCCTTATGGCCCCCTGCCAGGAGAAAGCTGCACTCCACCCAGTGGAAGTTGCACATCGCCTGCAAACACTTCTTTGCATAAACTCGCAGAAGAGCTCTCCACTCCCCATCCATTAATTTACTTGGTTGAGGATATGAATTCAGTCACCATAGGCCTCATTCACCAATATGTGTAGAAATGTTCTTACTTTGCGCACAAAATAAAATGCAGAATCAGTCGGATTCATGACATGCACACTGCCAATTTTTTTCTTACCACCATGCATATGTTAATGAATCATTCTAAATTGACAGGACTGTGCCTGCGATTTGCACACCATAATGCCACGCCTTAATTTCTCTATATAAGGAAATACATTTGCCTTTCATCATGGAGAATGTGAAAAGCGAAAAGACAAAAGCATAGTCCTAAGTAAGATACAAAAAATACTGAAGAAATTTAGACCAAAGAGTCCGAGGTAGAAGGCAGAAAAGGCACACTTTTATGAAGTATTTCCATTGGATGATATGGTGATGATGATAAAAAAAGAGGCTTGGACAAGAACCGTGGCTCAGATAAAAACAAAATGGGTTAATATTAAAGTTTATGCAAAAGGGAATAACAGACCAGAAGAAAAAGACGGAAGGAGGAGGACAGAGAAGACATCCAGTGAGGACATCCAGCAAAGACTTTCTCCTGGAGGTAATTTATGTCATAAATGTATTAGGGCTGTAACAAATAGTTACAGAGAGCAGCTGTCTGTGATTACTTTGTGCATGTATTGTGATAATAGCTGATATGTGGTCTGTTGCCCGAATTTAAACCTTAACTTTCACTCTGAATGTGTAATAGTACTTCGACTATTGACATGGTGAGTGAACACTAATTATGAGACTTAGTTTATTGTTTGGTTATTGGTCCCTGTTCGCAGGGTGGTGCCCCGTTATTATTAATAATGGTTAATAATCTTACTGACATTAATAATTCTATTGATGTCAATAATTTAGTTTTGTGATATGCTGATAACTCAAACACGCTCCTTTTCATTCCCAACACTAATATTATTCATATTATATTATTTGTAGAATTAGATTTTAGTATTGGCTGCTTTGTGACTCATATGGTCCAAACATTTCCCATAACTCAATAGTGATGTAAAGTCAAAAAATATTTCGGCATCCCTTTTATCCATTAACTTCAATTAGATTACAGCAAAATCAGTTTATTTTAGGTCAAACAGTTGTAGTAAACCAGCATTGTGGCCTACTAGATACAATGAATATGGCTCAGTGAAATTGAGACATGACAGCGTTAGGTTTCCCAGGGTATCTTGGATTTCCACCACATGTGCAAAGAAGCAACAGTGGTTATTTCAGTCATGACTGACGAAACTTTGTCTACAACGAGGTATGCCCCTCCTCCTCTCCGGTGCGTCAAGTACGAGTGACGCAAATAAACACAAATGTTCCCACAAGTAACGCAATGCAAAAATGTGTGAACACAGCATCAGACATGCCCTGTCGTTTCTTTCGTCAGCTCATCTTCCATGAAAACATCAGTAACGCAGAGGTTTATCAATACATCTTTAATAATTTAGCACTGGGGCCCAATTAATACTAAGTTTGATTTCCCAACCCTATCTTCAGATAACGTAAAAACCTGAAAGGCTCTCGCTACAGCCAGTGTTGGTTTGCCTGACTCTGTGAAGAAGACTCACTCAAAATGTATATATTAAAGTCTTTTTCTAGACTAAATAAATCATATTGTTTCTTAGTTTCAGGTGAATATACACTGATTAAAACATAGTTATGAATATTATCTTCCATTTATGCCAAGTAATCCCCCTAAATGCTACACACATTACTTCTTTTTTGATGTAGAATTAGTCAAAATAAGTTGCAGTTTAATGGCAGGAATAATATTTCAGAATGTAAACCAACCCTTTCTATTATACAACAGGCAGCAGCAAAGTGATTTTATTAGTCATGTCCGCAAAACCTACCGCTTGTTTAACTTGCTTTTCTCTGTGGGTTCTGGGAGTAACTATAGCCAGCTAACATGACATTACAATTAATTGTGTGTATTTCCTGACATTATTTGAATCAGCACGCTAATAACAACAAGAAGGCTAATATTCGTTAAAATTCAGCCGTCACTTTATAGCATCCCCTGGAAACAGTTTCTGTTTCAGCATGTTTCTGTACTTAGTCGTATCTGAATTTTCCGTTTTTTTTTCTAAATGCTGCACATGTTGCCAAACGGGTTAAGATGTTTTTTATTTTGCAGTGTGTTGAGCTCTCAGTTGAGTGGGAATATGTTTACCTGAGCAGGATTTCTACTCTGAGTAATGTAGTAACGTTCCAGGACAGGGTTGTCCTGCGCTTTCAGATGGACTCTCTTCTTGATCCCAGCGGAGACTGCGAGTGGTGTTGCTATCCACCTGAAATACATTTAACACACACAGGGTTCAATTCTAACAATGCCAGAGTCAGCAAAGATTTAGTTTTATTGATGGCATGTTCATTTACATATCACAGATGCATTAATCATTGCCATGATTACTTATAAGACTATTATTAATATTCTGGTATGATGACTTTTTGCATGCTTCTGGAGCTCAGCTGGCGAACCGTGACAGTCAGAGTGAAGTGTCTTCTTGTTTGTTTGTTGACTAAGTGTTACCGAGTCAAGGAAGTAAACACATTTAAAAAAAAAATGTATGGAGCAAGAAGTTCTAATGAACTGCTTTTATCCATGGCAGACAGGAGGAACCGATGGGAAAGCTAGCCATCTCCTACACCAGGGAGCAGCTCCATTTCCCTGCACCTGTTCTACCTACCCAGGGAATTTGGGCAGGTGATTTTGACAGCTGTTTATATTCTACCATCAGCTATTACAACTTAGTTTTCACAGACAATCTATCAATGTATTGAAAAGCTAACTACCTCTCGTGTTGCATCCAAAATCATTCTGGGGGATTTTAACACCAGCAAACTGAATTCTGTGCCGCTCGCCATTTGCCTGGTTCCCCAAATCACTAAATCTGCACCCAAGTTGCAGTTATCTCATTCAGAATCACTGGTGAAATACTCTCTTGTTCACGAGAAAAAACACCTGGGGCCGACTTTACCATTAGGCAAGGTAGGAACCTGCCTGGGGCCTCCAACTAAAATTACTTGAAAAATATTGAATTATGTTACTGTTATGAACCACTGTACCCCAAAATAACTTATAAAGCACTTAAAAGATATTCAGTTTATCTGTATACTTCTTACTGTGTACTTCTATTTCAGAGGAAAATATTGGAGCGCTACATTTGCCTGACAGAGAAATATTACTGGTGAGATTTAGATTTGACTCATAAAACATATGATAATTAATGTGATGAATTATTATCAATTCAAGCAACTATCTTTTTTTGCGATATTGACGGCCCATGTGGACAAAATGGTGTTTCAAAGCACCAGAATTGCTTTTGATAGCCTAATGTCACTGCTGCTGGAGTCTGACAGTCTGCTCTATGTATTTCTGGTCCTCCTGTGCCTCTCTCCCCACCAGCGGGTCCAGCAATACAGCCTGGGTCTCCAGCAGCATGGTGTCGGCTCCCAGTGGGCTACAACAGACGAATAAGAGGTAGAGGTAAAGGAAGGGGATCTGGAGGGAGAGGCCGTAGCATCCAAGGGCGCCCTCCTCTGGGTAAAGCTGAATGCTATATCTGTCGCCAAAAAGGACATTGGGCAGCTGACTGTCCCCGCAGAGATGACAGCCATCCCCAGGGGCCACAGAACCGCTGGATGTCTGACTGAACCAAGATCACGGGGACATGTGGAGAGAGAGGGAGACGTCCTCCGGCAGCAGCAGAAAAGGGAAGTGAGACACACACACACACAGCACATGCAATGAAGACACGCTTGTCCCACCCCACACCCTCACGAACACATCAGAGCAGCTGCAACTAAAACAAGCAGCTATTGAACATTTAGAGAAAGTCAACAAATCAATGCCAACCAAAGGGTCATATCCAAAATACTCCACAGAATCATTTAAGAGATTACCCGAAACCACTTTGTTCTTTGGTGGCAAAGCAATTGTTTTCCTAGTAGATTCAGGAGCCACACATTCCGTGGCAACAAGCAAAGATTTACCCAACCCCAAACTTAGCGGCCAATATGTTTATTCCCTAGGCGCATCAGGACTAACACTTAAAGAACGTTCCACTGTTCCACTGGCATGTGAACGCCATGATGACATGGCGCCCCCTGTCAAAACTAAACATGCATTTCTATCCTCACAATGTTGTCCAGTAAACCTGTTTGGCAGAGACCTCATCCTGAGTCTTGGTATTAGTTCAATATCTACTGCAGATGGCCTTAAAGTTGTCCGCACCCCGCTCATATCACAGTGCATGACTCACTACAATCCAAACATGCCCCTACTGTATATGTTTATCAGTGGCGCATTCCTACAACTATGGCAAAAGACATGATGAACCATTGCACTCTCGTTGCCCACCACTTGGCTGTATTAATGATTCCTGAACACTTACATTGCACTGCTCATGTTCCTGTCGGACCGGATGACTCATTTGATTTTCATTATGATTTTCTCCAGTGTTCTATTTTGTTTTGGTCCGCTCAGCGGTGTGTTATTTCAGTAACTCTGACTTTGGCTCAACACCGCATGCTCCAAATGGAGAACTCCTACCCACACATCTCACTGTCGAAATCACCAACTGACCAGTGGAGAGATTATTTCCAAACTACCATTCTATACTCTGTGTATTAGTTTGATGATAACACACCACACACTTCTTGCTGACACCTCCAGTCTTCCCCCTGCCTTACAGGAAGTTCGCTCTTCTCTCTGGGCAGCTGGTAAATATGACGTCGGTCTAATACGGAATGCGCAATGTGTGGTCATCACACCTAAATCATTGTTTCAGCCATGCCAACATCAATATCCGCTTACACAAGAAGCTATTGACGGCATTACTTCTGTGTTTAACTCTCTTTTACAGGCTGCACCTCCAGTAACCAGTCCGTCAAGCTCCTGAAGTTTGCGGATGACACCACCCTCATTGGACTCATCTCTGGTGGGGATTGACCATCTGGTGACCTGGTGCGGTCTGAACAACTTAGAGCTCAACGCTCTAAAGACAGTGGAGATGGTTTTGGATTTCCAAAAGAACGCAGCCCCACCTGCCCCTATCACCCTGTATGACTCCCCCGTCGCCACTGTGGAGTCCTTCCGCTTCCTGGGCTCCATCATAACCCAGGTCCTCAAGTGGGAGCTTAACATCAGCTCCATCACCAAGAAGGCTCAGCAGAGGATGTACTTCCTGAGGCAGCTGAAGAAGTTCAACCTGCCAAAGACAATGTTGGTGCACTTCTACACTGCCATCATTGAGTCCATCCTCTGCTCCTCCATCACTGCCTGGCACGCTGCAGACACTGCCAAGGAGAAGGGCAGACTGCAGCATATCATTCGCTCTGCCGAGAGGGAGACTCCTTTTATCAAGGTATTTTATGTTTATTGTTTAAAAAAGGTGATGATGCTGATTTAGATAACTACAGACATCTAACTATTATGAATACAGACTATAAGATTCTTGCTAAAAATAATTATGAATAGATTAAACGATATATTAGACAAAATTATAGATAAAGAACAAACATGTGCAATTAAAGGCCGACTGATGTGGGACAGCTTGTGCATACTAAGAGAACTTTTACATGAACCTGATAAAAGGTTTCTATGTTGTTGGGCTTGATCAGAAGAAGGCCTTTGATTACATCTCCAGAGATTACCTCTGGGCTGTGATGAAGTCATACGGCTTCCCCGATGCTTTTATTCACATAGTGAAATGTCTGTACGTTAAATCAAATATCTGTGTAAATGGGTTTTAACTGAAGCCTTTCAAGTAGAGAGAGGAGTGAAGCAGTGCTGCTTTATGCATCCTCGCCATAAATCCTCTAATTAAAAAAATAAACTCAGATCATCTAATTTCAGGTTTAAGTGTAGGTCATATTCCCAAAGTTACAGCCATCGCATACGCTGATGACATTACTGTCATCATAAAAAATCAGTTGGAGATGGATGCTTTAACTAACAACCTATCTCTGTATGAACTCGCATCTGGAGCTAAATTAAACCATTACAAAACAGAGGGAGTTTGGATCGGAGATGAACACCATCAATGTAATATTAACATTAAAGTTAAACCAGAAATGAAAATACTGGGTTTAACATTTTGTGACAGTAAAAGTAGTGAAAGAAATTGGGAAAACAAGTTGTGTGAAATTAAAGAAGAGGTGAAAAAATGGGAAAACAAAAATACTAATTACAAATCCAGGGTAAATATAGTCAAGACCTTCATCTTATCTAAACTACTTTTTTTATCCAATATTTTTCCTCCATCCAACAAAATGATCATCCAGTTAAATAAACAGTGTGAACTTAATCTGGGGCACAACCAGGGAAGTAACCAAACGACAACTGATGTATAAGAGTACGGTGGGTTAGGGGCCCTAGAGCTCGGCGTCAGATTATATATTGCCTTTGTTAAAAATGTTTCTGCTGCCATCTCCAGAAACGCTCACTGGTTAGGAGATGGCTCCATGTGGAGGAAGAGAAAGGGGAAACTGAGACAGGGCCCTGACTACAAGTTATTATACGGTGATTTTACTAACCACTATCAACACTTACGTATCGACTGGAAGAGTCTATCAAGTAAAGCTATCTATAAAAAGATCAACGATTTTAAACATGGTGGACTTGTTAAATATAAAAGTTTGACAAATGGCGAGGAAGTAATAAAAACATTGAAGGATAAGAATCTCTCGAAGAGCATCAGAGATGTCTGATGGCTCATGGCAGTAAATAGACTCGCTGTAAGAGCCACTGTGTCATGGAGCTGCTATGTCACGACGGAAAAATGTCCCATGATGCATTGTAACGAGGACGAAACACAAAATCACCTGTTCATAGACTGTCACAGAGCGCAACAGGTCTGGGCCTCACTTCAAGGCCTCGGCCTAGTCTTCAATGTGAACTATAAATCTGTGATGTTTCCTCTGTTTGATGAGAAGATGTCCGTTAAACAAAGAGAACTTTGCCAGCTCATTGTCAGCATCACATGTTTCAAAATATGGAAAACCAGATGTATAATGGTAATAAAACAGACTGTAATGGATGGCAACATGGTGGTGAAACATGTAGTCACTGAACTCAGGAGAAGGAGAACTATTGATAAGAGCCAGTCCCTCCCGTGGCATTTGTTGGACTTTTGACCCAAGCACACAGCACTTTTCTTGTATCTGTCTTTGTGTTTTTATGTCTGTATACTTGGGAATCATGTATGTATTTGTGCAACTGTATATCTGATCTAAATTAAATAAAGTTTTCAAAAAAAAAAAAGCAATAGACCGTAACTTTTTTTCAACTTTCCTAGTGGCTTTTCTGTTACTCATTTCCCTCTTTCTAACGGAGAGCCACGCACAATGGACTGGGGGCATTGTTTACTCTCACGATCAGCTGATTACGCTGAGTGAACCGCTGCTGCTGCCCAGCACAAGGCCTGAAATCCCGGAGGAGTTGCAGAGAAGACGTCGGGGTTGCAGAGCTGGCGCTAAGTTGAAGGCGAAGAGGAGGAAATTTAAACCTGCGGTACAGGCAATCTTAATGGGGAATGTGAGGTCCTTGGCCAATAAGACGGATGAGCTCAGCACGCTGGTAAAGACCCAGAGGGAGTACCGCAAGTGCAGCAGCATGTGTTTCACGGAGACATGGCTGCACTCACATTTCCCAGACCACAGTGTGGCCGTACCCAGCTTCAGGACTGTTCAGGTGGACAGAGATGTTGTACAGAGCGGTAAGAAGAAAGGTGGTGGGATTGCAATGTATGTGAACGAGAGGTGGTGCAATCCCAGCCATGTGTGTGTGATGGAACGTTTCTGCAGCCGAGGATATTGAACTCTCTAGCGCCCCCTACAGGTTGGACCGGCGATGCCCCTCGGCCAGTATGTCCGATTAACTTGAAAATCAACAGACATTTCGAGCTCTGCTTACTCTTTAAAAAAAAAAAAAAAAAAAAAAAAAAAAAAAGACAATGAGACCCCTAAACTCCGCCTTCCAAAATTTTCTGCCATTTTGAATTTTGTGAAAAACGCATTTTTGGGAACTCCTCCTACACGCTCTGTCCGATTGCTACACAATTTGCTGTGTATCATTATTGGATCTATATCACCAAAAGTTATCAAAAGCTTTTTGATATATCTTTGCGTTTACAAGATATGGACCAATAAACTTCTTAGGGGCGTGGCTTATATATCAATGCACAACTTTTCAACCGTTTGTCTTAAAATCTCCAAATTTGCAGGACATGTGCACATCGCATCCTGTAACATACCCTGACATTTTCATACCATTCAACTACTAGGGGGCGCTACAGTAAACCTGCCATGTTGTGCTTTTTTGTCACTTTTTGCAGTTTTCAGCCTTTGTACTTTAACGAACTCCTACAGAATTAATGGGATTGACCTCAAATTTTGTCAGGATGCTCTTCAGACCTTTTTAATGAAAACTTGTCAAATTCATGAGTTTTCATGGAAGAACCTTGGCGTGGTGGCCATTTTGCCTCATTCATCATGAAAAAGGAAGTTGTTATAACTCCAAGGTACATTATTCAATCTGCACAAACTTTCTTAGGCATGATGCTACTTCAAGCTTTAGCATATTTCAATGCCAATATTTTCAATAACTCATAGTGCCACCTACTGGCAAAAGGAAATGTCACATGTTACACTTTTATTTACTCCTCCTAACCAGTTGACCAGATCAAAGTCAAATTTGGTAAGGAATGCCTTAAGACATTGATGATACTTCATAAAGAATATTGGGAGTTTTCGTTTAACGCTGTTGCCATGGCAATGCATCATTCGCCATGAAAAAGTAGGCTGATGCCATCAGTTCAGTGGCTTGGGATGCTCAAAAACTCATTAAACTTTGTACATGTGTCATAATTCATGGGAAGACGTATTTTATATGGGTTTTTGACTTGGCCATTTTAAATTGCCTCCATAGCGCTCCCTACAATATTTCAAAAGAGCAGTCCCAGTGCTGCGTTTCAGGTACAAATATGAAACTTGGTACGCACATGTATCCCATAGAGACTTCAAAAAAAGTATCTTGGGACCATGCTCAAACTGTACCGGAAGTCGGACATTTTGATTTTTGTGTCATTTTTTGATAGATTTTTGCCCATTTGTAGTCGCTATACTTTAACGAACTCCTCCTAGGGAATTTGTCTGATCCTCTTCAAATTTGGTCAGTACAATCTCAAGCCCTTTGTGATTAAAAGTTATCAAAAGCTTTACATCTGATAGAATGGCTTAGCCGTAGCGGGCGGCTACTTTACTTGATTCCCCATGAAAAAAGCTGATGTAACTCCACTGGACGTCTTCCAAACGGTCCCAAACTTCCCATGCTTGATAACACTCATGGCCTGAGGATGTCTACAAGCTAATTTTCAGTAATACTCACAGCGCTACCTGCTGGCCAAAGGAAATCTGCATTTTTGTGACAAACAGCATCCGATTTACATGACTTTTACACAATGTGGTTTACACTTGATATAAAGCAACATAATGCATGTTTGCGCGTGTTCTGTAACGCCACACAGCGGATACAGGAAGCGGTGCACTATTTGCAAAGCGTATTTTCCAGCGTCAGGCAGTCCACGCAGGAAATAAAACGGACGGTCTTGGCCGCGCAGGCCGGAGTCCCGCCGGCACACCCCTCGGAGGATGCGAGGGCCCGTTCATCGCTGCTTGCAGCTTTAGTTGATATTTGTAGTTGGTCCTAAAAGTCAGTCAAGTCAAGTCAATTCATTGACACAGCATCGCTGTGTCTGAAATACAGTGAGCAGGTCAGACACCATGGCATTATTTTGGATACTGATCTCAATTTTAAAAATCATATCACCAATATCACCAAAAAAAGATATCAAAACGTATAGCATTCAAATCTCAAACTGACTTGGTTCAGTCAGGAACACTCGTGAAAGATTGTTTAACTATTTATTGCAGCAAATGGAAATACTGTTAAACTTGCCGCTGATAGCTCCGCTCTTTAAATAATCCTCGGATTAGCCAGCAGCTACCAAGCCAAAACGGGGAGCACCAAGCATCAGAATCAGAACCGTTTATTGCCATGGACCTCCTTAATGTGAGGCTAGGCTGTGATTGGTGTGGGGCCGATTGGAAGCTATGATTCAATCGGCTGGCTGTCAGCTGGAGCGTATAACTTCCGTGTCTTGCGATGCTTCATTTCATGCATTTATCTCAATCAGGTCAGACTACTATAGAGCTCTATTTCCATATTCAAAAGCAGACTCAAAACTTTCCTGTTCTCCCAGGCTTATGGTTGATAGATATATATGTGTGTGTGTGTGTGTGTGTGTGTGTGTGTGTGTGTGTGTGTGTGTGTGCGCGCGCGCGCGCATTGGTTCATCATTAGTTCATTTGAAGAGTTGTCATGTTTTTTATTGCTTTGTGGTTGGATGTATGCCTGTGGAATATGCTTATATTTTGTGCTGTGCTTATATGTATATTTGTATATTGTGTCCTTAAACGTGAAGCATTTTGAGTTTATGTGTAATGAAATGTGCTATATAAATAAAATTATCATCGTCATTGCCAGTGTGTAGGATTAATGGCATCTAGTGTTGAGGCTACAGATTGTATACAACTGAACACTCCTCCCTTTACAAGCAAATGAGTATTGCCAAAACAATTTGAAATTGAGTTGAAATGGCAGTGACACTGTTCCTGTAGAATATCTGCTCTTGCTTGTTGACTCTAGGGACAACAATGGAGCTCTATGAATGTATCAGGCTTTGATACTCACTCAACAATAACAATCCTACTAACAATACTTAGTTAGTAGGATGCATTCACTGTTGGTTTGAATATCACCGTACATATCCTTTAAACTGTAACATACTGTGTAATCCTTTGACAGAGAGGGATGTGCTGTTGGTACAGTATGGGATAATAGAAGCACGGAGTGTGGATCTTACCTTTCAAACAGGTATCTGATTAGTAAGAAGGCAAAGGTGTAGGGGACAGTGACGTAGAGATGTGAGGCTTTGGCATAGACCCGGCCCTCCCTGTCCTCCAGGTCAGCCCATGTCAGGTTCACAGGCAGCCAGATTCTGTCCCACCAGAACCAATCATACAGTGTGTCAAACATCCCTTCAACCTAACAGAGCGCCAGGTCACAAAAACACAAGAAGTTAGGTTATACTGTAGTAGCCACCAATTAACATGCAGCACTGTCTGTAGCTATTATTTATAAGGGCAGGACCATGACATGGCTGACAGTTCAAGTAAAGCAAAAGTGTCCAGAAACAAAGAGGTGATGAACTGATCCAAACTGATCCTTTGATATTGTCACGATATCTCGTACGGAATTTAACTTATTTGCGTATTACTTACTTATTTGTATAACCTGGATGAGCAGCTTTCACTTTGGTGCAAAGTGTTTCCACGTTTGGACCATTTCATACAACCGTGGTTCTGTCTTTGACTGTGTGCAGTGTGACTTGCACACCATCTATCACTTTCAAAATACTGAGTCATGATACTATGAGTCAGGGGGTAAGGTAAGATTCCAGAAAATAGCTACAACAAGCAGACTGCTTACGGTAGTAAACCAATATTTGAGTGAACATCTCAAATAATGTTTGCATTTATCTTTGGAGTGGAAAGACGCACACGCAGAGAAAGGGAGAGAGAAGGAGAGCAGCAGAATGCAGCGTTGAATGCAGCAATGTGCTTCTGGTGAGAACATGATGGCTGTGATTCTTTTCTAAAAAGCCCACTGTCTGCATCTGACTGATGTGACAGCTTAAAAGTGACAGCCATCAATAAGACAGCACTCTGTGGTGGCGAGATAAGCGGAGAGGTTCATTCAGCTCCGACCTCACAGTCGGGTTCACTGCAGCCCTTTTACACACTAGAACTGTATGAAGACTCGTTGATAAATGCACAGCAACAGAAGATACTAGAAAATGCATTTCCTGCTGAAAATGCATTGGAATGCTGAAATGAATTGTAAAAAAATTGCTGAAAATTAAGAAATGGGAGACTACCCGTCTGAAAAATGTTGAAGCCTGAAAGCATTTAAACTGCACTGCTGAAAACCCTTCTAGTTGAAATGTCTCACTATGGTGTCTGTAGCTGAAAGTATGAAGAAGAAGAAGGCTTTGAAAGTTGAATACGTTTAACAGGATTTGAAGATTTTCTCCATAGAGATCCCATTCAAAAGAAAATTGCAAATAGCTTAATAATTCAAAAAGTTCAAAGATTACAAATATGAAAAGTCAAAGCACCCATCTCCTGAAAGAGCTGAAAAGTCCTCTCAAAATCTCATAGACCTGAATGGCTGTATGAGAGAGAGACAGTTTTATGGACAGACAGACAGACAGACAGACATGTCTGATGTAGCTGAAAGTAAACACACACACACACCCGTTTGTTAAAATGTAATTGTAATGCTGTTTATATATCATTATTATATAACAACCTAATATTATGTAATATTAGTGCTGGGCAACGATTAAAATATTTTAAATCGCGATTAAAATATTTTAATCGCGATTAATCACATGGATTTTTTGCGATAAATCGCAATTAATCGCATTGTTATGGCAAAGTTCAATAATGAATTCAAAAGTAGTGTATTGCGCACTTTTATTTTAAAAGTACTGCTATATGAACAAAAGGGCAATACCATTTGGTTCACGAGATGCAGGTAGCATGTTTTATACTTAATGTGAATATAATTCATACTTTGTTGGCATCTTATTCTGAAAACCGGATGTTCGTCTGAAGAAACCAGATGTTGTCTCACATTAATCTTTCCGCTAACTTTCAAAGTCCTTCGCTTCGGACATCATATCTCCAATACAAAACGATAAACATGAGACAATAATAGTCTGTTACAATAATCATAAATTGAAAATAATTATTATTTTTTTTCCCCCATCTCAAAAGGATCAAGGACACACACACACACACACACAACTGACTATAGGATGTTTGCTGGCTTTTATCCCACTGTTCTTGTCATCCTCTTGTTGTTATGTATATGTATTGTCTCTTGTCTTTCAAGAAAAAAAAAAATTAAAAAAAATTAAAAAAATGCGTTAACGCACGATAAAATAATTGTCGCCGTTAATTAATGAATGCGTTAACGCAAAATTAACACGTTAACTTGCCCAGCACTAGTTAATATTCATATTAATATTATTGTGTACTTTTGTATTTTCGATGCTTTGCCAACATTGTTTCTTTTTGTTGAAACTTTCATGCTGATAAAGCCACATTGAATTGAACAGAGAGAGAGAGCTAGAGATAGAGATTGCAGCCTAGCAACAAATCACAGTTGAAAGCAGTTAATAGTGTGTCTGTGTGTTTGTGTGTTCTGCTAGGTCAGATTATAGTAAAAATCCTCAGTAGAAGCCAAGTTGTTGAGTTCTGCTGGCCAATCAAAAACATACACCTGACGTGACTTCCTGTCTAGCTTCTGTCCAAACAGCTTCTGTAGGTTGATACAATCTCTAATTGTGTTTTTGTTTTGAATGATAGGTGAATGACAAATGTTAAATGGAATTGTACATGTACTTGTATCGTGCCTTTCTAGTCTTCCGACCACTCAAAGCACTTTAACACGACATGTCATCATTCACCCATTCACACCCATTCATACACTGATGGCAGGGCTACCATGAAAGGTGCCATCTGCCCATCAGGCCTATCTACCATTCATACACCGGCGGCACAGCTACAGGAGAAATTTGAGGTTAAGTGTCTTGCCCAAAGACACATTGACATGGACTAGCGGAGCCGGGGATTGATTCCCTTTAATAACTCTTCATGTTCCAGGTGAGGCGAGGCTCTTACAGTACCAGTGGTTCTGTTTTGTTTTTATGATAAACATGAGCTGAGTCATGTTACGTAGGTACAAGCTGAAAGCCAGCAGCTGCTTTGTTCTATAACTACAATAGAGAGCTCATTGGAGCAGACAAGTGAGAATCTCATAAATATGCATGCCGATGTAGTCTGACAGTCATTAAAGATACAATGTTTGGATGGTTTGTTTAGTTCCACTTTGGATTCTGGGATTTTTTATCAGAGCCTGTTAGAGTCAGCACCAGCATTAGCCTCTCCTTGCAATGAGCTCATATGTTCCACCCTCAACACATTTACTTTAATTTGTTTCTGTTAAAAATCTCTCTCAATTCAATTCCAATATATTCATTACAATTTATGTTAGAAGCCTATACATCCATAACACCAACAGACCGCTCAGGGGGCTCTGTATCTCTTCCTGATCCAAATAGAGTAACACGATTTCACTGAAATCCATCAGGGATTCACTCGGTAATGTCTAACAGAAAACATGTTCAGCCTCTGTGTTGTACAGACTTCTCTTCTGGTTGACTCAAAACATTAACAGTGAGTAGAAGTAGAAACGTTTCCTCTGAAATGTGGGACAAAAGAATTACCTAAAGAAGAATACAACCTCTGAATCAGCTTTAGAGAACAAAAAATACTTGCTTATATGACCTCAGGTTTGATTAATATGCAGTAAAAAAATACTGTTCTTTTTGTCCGATAGCTGGTGTTTGTTTCGTGCTTCAAGTGACATTAAAGGATATTTCCATTCCACCTTTACATAGCTGCTGACACTACAAAGGTTACCCAGCAATACAGGTCTTTGAAACTGTCAAACTGAGATAGAATGCAGGTCCCAAACATCTTTAACAGTGTGTAGATCGTTCTGAGAACAGGGACTTCTTTCGTCCCAACTCAGCCATGACAAAGCTTACAGAGAGAAAACCTGGAACTTTCACTCACATCCAAGCTAAAGCAAGCAAGGGGCTCACCAATCACACTCCAAGGTCACAGGCTTACCTTTCCAGTGTCAGTGCTACCAGAAAGAGTAGGTAAGGGCTGTTGTTTCCACACCAGCTGACTGACGGCTGTGTTTGCTGTGGAGAACGATCACGGATGGTAAAGTCCTCTATTGCCCCGTAACGACTACCACCTAGCCACTCTCTCTTTGTTTGACATTCTTTAGGGTCACACCCAGCCCTGCCACAATTACCTGGGAAGGTTTTTTTTCTCCCCTCCAGGAAGTAGAGGTAGGGGAGCGGATTGCCACAACAAAGACATACTCACACACACTTTTTTTTCTCTCTTCCCTCAAGGTATCTAATAACCTTGTTTGTATTGTGTTCCTGATGAAGTACAAAGCAGGTTCTCCCACAAAACAAACCTTCAAGGCAGAGAAACTATGCCGACTTTCACAAAATGCCAATTGAGGTCATTAACGTGGCCCATTATAAACATTATATGTTATTTATAATCAATGACACTATCTACACATTTCTGCTTTTTTCTTCATTTACACATTAACTGACGCTACAGATCATTTGACACAAATTCTTACTCTTACATTGGCAATGATACTGCTTCAAGCTCTTACAGTGCATTTGACATTTCAAACTCCTTTAACAGTTACTCGCCATGTGACACCAACTGTTTTCAGCATTTACACTTCAGCTATAGTCTGACTCACTGGATGTAGACTGTGGGTATAAGTCTGCCAATGGCCACCTATTTCACACAGCATTCTCTTCCTCTTCTGCTCTCTGGGCTATTTATTTTACAAGGCTTGCTGCATCCTGTGCTTCACGCCGCCCAAGACGATTGTGATTGGTTAAAAAAAATAAAAATAGCAACAAGCGATAGATTTTTTTCCCCTCTACCGGAATGATGATGTGTGGAGCCAGACCTTTCTTTGTATACATACATACATACATACATACACACATACATATATATATATATATATATATATATACATATACATACACACATACATATATATACATATATATATACATATATATATACATATATATATACACATACATATATATACATATATATATACACATACATATATATACATATATATATATACATATATATATACATATA